TCAGCAGTGGAGTTATGCAGTTGATAAAATTATTATTATTAGGATTAAATTAGTTTTTTTCTACCAATTCTTGTACAAAATATTTCTGATGGTTTTATATTGTATTTAAAGAAATAAATATATGTAGATGAATGTTAATTAAACTTAGTTAATTAAAAAATGTGTATTTATGTGTTTTCTCCCCTTAATTTATGTTATATTTAGGAACAACATATTTAATTCTAAACAACTATATTCACTTAAAACTAATTATGTTCTAGTTTTTTATCTCGGTCTTAAATATATGTTATTATTTTCAATTTTACTTGTCAATCTTTTTATAATTTAAACATAAATTGATTGAAAGGACAAGTACTTACATTTTTTTTTATTGGATGAAAATAGAATGGTAACCCCGCCTGCATTAACGGGATACTCTGGCGGGGCACCAGTGAAGGGTGATAGATGAGAATGAAAACAGGCCAGTTAGCCCATCATGATGAATTCATCCAGAATTAATCATGATAGTTTCCAGGGGGAACCGCGAGGAGGTCGACCTGGTTGGGTATATTGCTAACAATGGGATTCTTAGTCTCCATTACTAATAATCCCTTTCCCCCCAAGTACTTACATTTAAATGGCGAACTAATATGCTGATTAGATTGATGAACGTGAAAAAAGCAAATATGTCAGATAAAGAGGGCCTCTTTAAGTGCTTAATTCAAGAAAGAATAAAGAATTGACACAGAATAATAATTTATCTATACTAAAATATTGATAAATAAAATTGAAATAGTCAATAATTAATTGTTTTAGATAACAATGTATTATTATATTATCAATGTAATGTAAGTACCAAAGAATATATAATCAAGGTGTCTTTAATTACTACCTTATAATAAATTATTGAGTAAAAAATATAAACGCTAAAAGAAAAAGAATAGATAATTTGTATTACTTACAGCAAGAAATGACAACAAAAATATACAGTAAAAAGAGATGGAATGCATGAACAGAATGAATATATAAAAAAAAAAAAACGCAAAATATACAAAAGTAAAAGTTTCCTTCCTACAATTAATCCAAATATACTCTATGAAGTCTATGAATCAAACAAAACTGAAAAGCGAGGTTGCCAGATATTACTGATTTTTACATAAATGTCAATTTTTTTTTCCTAATCGATACGATTCCTACACTTTTAGCAAATTAAGAATATATGAACCAATTTTGAATATATAGATAATTTGTCACTACTACATTTATATAAAAAAAACAGTCATGTTCATATTCTAAATACTAGATTACAGTATAAGTTTACTGTTCAAAAGAGTTATTTAAAAAAAAAGTAAATAAATCTTTTGTGGGAATGGACATTAAAATTAATAAGAAAGTTCCGAAATATGCATTGGATGTACCTTTCATCAAATTTAAAAGTTTTATTGAGAAAAATGTAATGAATAATGCAATTTACACACTACGATAATTTACAAGATAAACGTGTATGGCTCTAAATGGTCATGCAAGAGATATTTACTTAAGTTATTGTCTATATTACGAATTAAATTTGACATAAATCTGAATATCAAAGATTTGGCTATATTATATATATAGTTTCATTGGTATATTGTATTTATATACAGCTATATGGTTTTAATTATATAATGTAAGTAAAAAAATTATACAAATTTCTCCAACTCCATTTTTATTTTTCTAACATTTCTCTAAAATTTCGCAAAATGATTACCTAAATTTGTGAAAAAAAGAACCTAATCGGGTAAAACTGCGCTCAAAACTTTAAAAAGTTGAGAGGGTTGACAAGTGATGATTGACAATGATCTAAATTGATGAATTATCATTCTGCCTATCTTATATGGGTCTTACCTAACTCTGGTGATTCCCCCACAAAAGAGAACTGCTTTACCTTTAGATTTAAAATTGTACCTGTGCTGCGGTTCCATTTCTAGATTTGTAAGTTACGAGAGTCGAAAATTACACATTTACTTTAAAATTGAACTATATATTACCTATATATATATATATATATATATATATATATATATATATATATATATATATATATATATATATATATATATATGTATTTTATTTAAGGTGTAATTTATTAATAAAAAATATTAACAAGGTACGATTGTAGTGCCTCTACTGAGCGATTAAGAAACTAAAATTACTATTCTAATACTAAAACGATACAGCTTATTTCGTGAAAGTCGACCTGACAGGATATGTATTACTAATAATGAGGCCACTAGTTTCCATTACTAATAATTCCTTCCACACACGCTGGTGGGGCACCAGTGAAGGATGACAGCAGATCATAAATCGGCTCATCGTGTCGAATTTAGCAAGAAATAATTACAATAGTTTTCACACGCAGATATGGACTTGAATGTTATATTGTTAGCAATAGATGCGATTAATTTATCGATATTATTGACGTAATTGTGTATCTTGAAACAAGTCATGCTCACTTTAATATCTAGATTGTTGGTGTCATGGTATATCGATCGTTGTGCTCCCTATAATATGATTGAATACAACGACGGCTGGCTCATCTGTCACACTCGTGAACGAATGCTCCTAGTAGGGACTAGTCTGATCAAAAATACTGTAATTAATTGTAGCGTTGTAGCTTTTTTCTATCATATTTTTTTGTTGTACACTTAACTCTGAAAACGCAACAGCTGTGTTTTATGCCCGTTCTTCTCAGCTGAAATTGAATTCCTCAAGTGGGCGGTAGATTCATAAAAAAAAATATTAAGTTTACTTAAATAATATTATTTTTATATATTTATTTATCGTTTCTATTACTAAAAATCCCTTCTTCTCTGTCATACGTGCGGAGTATAGGTACTATGCAGGAATAATACATATTGTTTGCTACAACCAAATCATGGATAATAGGATTGTGCGAGAATATGATTAAGTGGACTGTATGCACGAATATGTAAAAATGCGATAACGATGAACTGTTACAAAAAATCACTATCTAAATTCAAATAATGTTCAAATGAATTACTCTTTAATTTGTTAAAATTTCTTTAACTACCTTATAACGTACTCAGATCGCTCAGTTCCCTAAGGCATGCTAAAGTTACCTGAGAAGACCTCGTAAGTACTAAGGGTTTTGATTTTGAATTTTTCCCTAGACGTTCGAATCTTGAAGGACCCTTTTAACGAAAATTATTTATATTTTATTTATTATTAGCTAGAGGGATCTAGCAATGAGGAGGTCCTGCTTAGGGTTAAGGAAAAAAGACAAATTATTAGAACTATTGAGGACAGAAAGGGAAAAATGTTGGGACACTTGATACGACACGACGAACTTATGAACATTATAATACGAGGTCTGTCCGGAAAGTTCGTATAAAAGTGTTCTGGAATGCAAGAAAGAGGAGTGGGGAGGCCAGGTAAGCGCAGGACCCCTTCCTTATGTCCCTAACAATGCTTCAGTTCTGGTCTGACCGCCGTGCGGTGCGAACTGGCTTGTCACGCCATCTGTGAAGTTACCTCTTAACGAAACCCCGTCGGCATGGAGCCCGCTTCCGTTGAAGAGCAGCGCGTCGTAATCAAGTTTCTCTCGAAACTCGGCAAGAATGGCCGTGAAATTTTTGCCGATCTCAGAACAGTTTATGGGGATGATGCTGTGAAGGAACCAACCGTCCACAAGTGGCTAAAAAGATTCAGAGAGGGCCGAGACAATGTTGATTGTTTTTTTCGATGTTCGGGGGATTGTCCATCAAGAATTCGTCCCTCCAGGCCAGACAGTTGATGGAAAATTCTACGTCGATGTGCTCAGACGCCTCAAAGCTCGTGTGGCACGAGTTCGTCCAGAATTGGCGCGAGAGGGGCGTTGGATTCTTCACCACGACAATGCCCCTGCCCACACCTCTCTTGTTGTCCGTGAGTTTTTGAGTAAAAATTCCATTACGGTGACCGAACACCCCCCCTATTCGCCGGATTTGGCCCCGTGTGACTTCTTCTTGTTCCCAAAAACCAAATTGGTACTTCGGGGGCGGCATTTGGGGGACATAAATGAGATAAAAAAAGCTACGACGGGGCAGCTGAGAAACCTACAACCAGAGGACTTTCAAGGAGCCTTCTCACAGTGGAAACGGCGTTGGCACAAGTGCATTATGTCACAGGGGGAGTACTTTGAAGGGGATAAAATTGATTTACCTGAATAATTGTAAAATAAAATTTTTAAAAAACTTTTATACGTACTTTCCGGACAAACCTCGTAGAAGGTAAGATAGAAGGAAGGAGGGAGACCGAGACATAGTTACATCAGGCAGATCAAGGAAGGAGTTGGTGTCGTGTCGTATCAAGAGGTGAAGAGACTCGTTGAAAATTGTAGTGAGTGGCAAGATGTCCACCGACAAGAGCGCAGCTCTTAAATAGGATAGATAGATAGATTTATTATTATTAAAAGTTTTTATTTGCGTAATTTATAACGACAACGACAATATTACATTTCGATATGTTTTAAGATCGTGGAACTAAATTTGTTACCTTTTAATTATTTAACAAATAGCGATAGAATTTTATACTTCTGTTTTAAAGAACAGACACAAAAACTTTTTTCTTTCTGCCTCCATTGATTGATTTATTGCCACATATAGAATAAAATGTACCTATTAACTATCGAGTGTTGCCATGAAATTATTACATATAAAGTGAAGAATAAAAACAATAAGTAATTAATGCTCCTTCTACATACCATGTTAAAATAAATATATAATATCGAAATAAGGAACACTATAGAAATGAAAAACTTTAGAAACAATCCTAATCTAGTCCAGGAGTTATAGACAGCATATAGACATGAAATTAATGTTTGTATATTTTTTTTTATAAGAATTGTTGTTACTAATTGTTTTAATCATGAATCCAAACAATATTTAACTTGTTGGGTTTTAAAATTTTGCATGCCTTGCAAGCGAAGTATGTGGACTTATTTTTATTGTTAACATCTATATACTTATCATATTTCTTGTAAATAAATAAGAATAATAGTTTATTAAACAGAATTTTAATAAACATTGTGTAACAACAAACATTTTTAAACAATAATTACATATAATAGTTATGAACTTGCTTCTACAGTAGCTTCTCTGTATTGTTCATGCCAATGGTTGGGCTCTTTTCCAAATGCCTGTAAATAATATTAAACCAATAAGAGAACAAAGTAATTGAAAAAAAAAAAGTATGACAGGGAGGAATTTATTCCATAAGCTGGGTGCTGTGGGTTCTTTCGAAATTTGTAATGTGGGTTTATTGATGGTGTCATTTTTAAATGGAGTACTTTTAACACATTTCGTATCATCATCATCAACACCTCAGTCACCATCTATTCACTGTTGAACATAGGCCTCTCGCATAGACTGCCGTAAGGTCTTGGTAATGGTCTTGGACCACCTGCATTCATTGACTCCCTGCAATGCACTTAAGGTAGTCACTTCATCTAGTCTAGGGGGTTGGGTGAGTCGTTCTTCAATGCGTTTAGAAAGAGAAGAAACGTTCTAGAGTCGCCACTCAATAACCTTTCTTCTTCATTGGTTGTCGGTTCTTCGAACTATGTGACCAGCACATTGCCACCTCAGATTGCTTAACCTTCGCACTATGTCGGTGACTTTGGTTCTTTTCTTGTATGTTATGAAATATCTCTATATAGAATGTGAAATTATTATATAAAGATTATATATATATTTTTTTTTTAATTGAAATCATGCCCTTTGACTATTAAGAATTATAGTAGTGAGCCTATTTATTTTTGTTTGGGATCATTAGAATAAAACGCAGTTTGCTCCCGATGTGGAATGGGTCACCCCTTACTTTCCCATGGGTGTCGTAAGAGGCAACTAAGGGAACTTAACGGTCGAGGGATAGGCAGCAGCCTTAAAACATTACCAAAGCTTAACTGCACTTGCCAATCCGCTGCCAAGCATGGCAATTACTTACAATAATAGGGAAGGCCTATGTTCAGCAGTGGACAGTTAATGACTTGTATAATAAAAAAAATTAGGATAAAATTAATTCTGTAAAAATTTATTTCGGTTTGGAAAAACAATTTTTAATCTATGCTGTATACTTACTTCAGCCATTTTGTTTAATATAAACATTTTGGGTACTTCCTCCTCTGCACGTTGTCCCCATTCAAATACATTTCTTGCTATTTCACCTTCACCCACCTGGGAAGTGTAAAATAATATTGTATTAGTATGGCATAATGGTCTCATAAAGGGAGGGTAAGTAATGCCGACTATCAATCCCTTTGCTAGCAATAAACCCTGTCAGGTCGACCTCCACTTGGTCCCCCCTGGAAACCATCTTGCTGAATTCTAGGTGTATTCATCACGATGGGCTAACTGACTTGCCTTTTCATTCTCACCTATCATCCCTCACTGATGCCCTGTCACCGTATACCGTTAGCGCAGGCGGGATTACCATTCCATTATTATGTACTAATCTATTTAATCTATCTAGCACGATGGTTTCCAAGAGGCACCATATGGAGGTCGATCTGACACAGTATATTGCTAGAAATGGGACTGATAGTCCGCATTACTAACAATTTCTTCCCCTTCGTAGTGACGTGTTATAAATCCTTTAGCTTTCCTCAATAAATGTTCTATCAATCTTTACCAGAGAGAGACTTTGTACAAAAGTAATTTGCTTGAGTACCTCTGTCCAATTCGTTTCTATTTCTACCGTGAAGCAGTTGTGTTTACACGGCTGTGCTTCAGTTTGAAGGATGGGATATGGCAGTGAATGTACAGGGTAGAGGAATAACACCCGAGTCCTTTAGAATGGCAACGCATGGGTGGTATCATGAGCGAAACAGCATACTCTGTTATGTATATGATACTGCTCATGTTTATAGGCGACAGTTACCACTTTCCATCCGGTGGGCCGACAGCTTGTTTTGCCATTTTAAGTTGCATAAAAAAATCCAACACTAATAGTACATTACAGCAGCGGCCAGCAACTGAGGCATTGATGGACGAACGTGCAAATGTGGGTCGAAGTGGAGCCAAGGCATACATACGTGAGTCCATCAACGCTTAGTTGTGGCAAGGCTTATTACTTTTCTCAAACAATGCGTGGAAATCAAAAACACAATTTTACTTTTTAAGTTCAATGACGAACAATAATATTTTTTCACGCGCCATAATGTTCCTCTGTTTTTATTTCAATAAACGGCTTTCTATTTGCAAGCCAGTTCGAAATTTAAATAAAACATTTTATTAGTTAGCTCCTTGAATGTTTCGAATCGTTTAATGTTTCGAAGTAAAAGGTCATTCAACTGTACTGACTTTTACTGACTTTACTGTCCTGTATTTTTTTAAATTACAGGACAGATGTGAGTTCATATAGTAATTTATCTGGCCGCAAAACACGACAGATATAGATTTTCATACAACTTTTGCCGGCCGCTGTCCGTATGTATCTGGCCAGTACGGTAATTTTGATTTATCTCTAAGAAGATTGTCAAAATAATGCTCACATTTCCAAGCATGTTTGAGAAAAAGTATTTTTCAATACAAACTAATACTTTTTGATTAACTCATTCAAGCAGACTATTCAGCTTTATAATATCAGTATAGGTTCACCTTGGAATACTGCAAATACATCTGCCTAGTAAATGTATTGGTCAGTACTTTTCTTGCTGTATGATCATTCTCTTCCATGAGGCCAGCTTCAGACAAAAACTTCCACATCTCTTCTGAAACACAATAACAAAATTTGTGAGCAATCAAACACGTGATAAGGATATCACAAATGAAATTTTATAACACTGATAACTTTATTCTTGATTAACACTTTTTATTAAAATTGACACAGCCATGTTTTTTTTTAGTGGGTGATAATGTAATGGTAACCCCAACAACGCTATCGGTATACACCGGCGGGGTACCAGTGAAGGATGATAGGTGAAGATGAAGCAGGTCAGTTAGCCCATCGCGACCAATTCAACAAGAATTGTTCACGATGGTTTCCAGGGGGAACCACGTGGAAGTCGACTTAACAGGGCATATTGCTAACAATGGGAATGTCAAACTCCATTTCTAACAATTCCTTTCCCCCTACATAGCCATGTGGTCCCGGTATAGAATAAGCCACCCTTTTCTTTCCCATGGATGTCGTAAAAGGTGATTAAGGGAGAGTGAGAGATGGGCAGCAGTCCCTATCAAAACATCTCCAAAGTCTAACTGTGATTGTCAATTCGCCTGCCAAGGGCGGTAACTACTGGCAAAACCTCCTCTGTACCCTGTAAAATTGTTTTGAGGAACTACTCTATTTATTTGATTTTGTGATAAATAAAAAATGTTGTTTTGGTATACAAATATTTTTAATGAGAATAATATTTTTCTGTTATTTTTTGGTCACAATGGCAACACATGCCTTTCTCAGTTGCCAGTAGATAATAATACTACTTATTTATCTAAATAATTGAACTAAACAACATTCTATATACATAATAGATGACAACATGTTTGTATGTACACAATGGACATATCATCATAGTCGTAGAATACTGACGGATCTGACAAAGATTACATATAAAGATCCGTCAGTATTCTACGACTGTGACGATATTATAGTGGGATATTTAACAGTGTGTAAAATGTAAATCTTATTTACGATAGATATTCAAATTCATCAGGAATTAATATTGACACAATGGATAGGGTATATTGCTAGCAATTGGGACAATTAAACCTCATTACTAACCTTCTTTTACAGGACCTCCAGTCATATAGATATGTGTAAGAGCAGCAATCAGCATCTTTCTCTGAAGTGGATCAGGGATGCAAGATGACTGTGAGTTACCTTCCTCATTAAGGACAACTATGTACTGGATACCACTTTTAGATTCCACCTGAATCAGCTTGTAGCCATAAACCTTTAAAAAGCAAACAAGTTTATTTTTATACTATTTAGAATGGCAAACAAGCTGACGGCCCACCTGATGGAAAGTGGTAACCGTCACCTATAGACATGAGCAGTACCATGGACATAACAGAGTATACTGTTTCGCCAATGATACCCCCCATGCGTTGCCATTCCTGAGGACTCAGGTGTTATTCCTCTGTACTCAGTAAATTCACGCCATATCCCACCCTTCAAACCGAAACACAGCCATGCAAACACAACTGCTTCACGGTAGAAACACGAATGGGACAGAGGTACCCAAGCAATCAACTTTTGTACAAAGTCTCCCTCTATACACTAACAGTAATAAATATGTGTTTTGACTTTGATTGTTTGAAATGATACTCAGACTATAGAATGAGTTCCCTGCTGAGGTTTTCCCTGGAGACTACAGTATGAGGTTCTCCAAAAAGGTTATATAAGGTTTCTTCAGGTTCAACAATGCACATGTAACACCCCTAGTGTTGCAGATATCCATAGGCTACAGTAACCAATTACCATCAGACGGGCTGTATGCTTGTTTGATCTACCTTCATGGTATAAAAAAAATTTGACTACAAACATTGATTGATGTTTAAACAAAAAAGGTTTCTTGTTCTACATGTGTAACTTTTAGATTCTAATAAGTTGATTATTTTTATTTACTTCTCTTGCATAATAAATTTATATGTTTACACACCTACATTGTGGCAGAATAAGATTGGATTATAATTCCCTTGTGTTGTAACATCTATAAAATGTATCTTATTTAAGCAAATAAATTAATTCTATTCCAATAATAAAAGATAGACATTTATTATTTTAAAGACTAAACAATGTTTAATAATATAAACAAAGTTTTGTTAAAGATTGATTAGATTTTAGTTTATGAATATGAGATTGGTTTAGAATTAATAGAGTTTTGAGTTATTTTATAAGCTACTGTAGCGAATGGTGGCAATGCAATCCCAATATAGAACAGGTCATCCCTTCTTTCCCATAGGTGTCGTAAGAGGTGACTAAGGGAGGGTGATGGGCAGAAGCGTCTCTGTTAAAACATATCTAAAGTCTAACAGCGGTTGCCAGTCCGCCTGCCAAGTAAGGCAAATTTCTTCAAGGGGCCTTACCCTTATGTTCAGCAGTAGACAGTTAAAGGCTGATATGATGTAGCAAATGGCTTTATCGGGCACTTATCCCATGATTTGACGTTAAGATAGAATATTTATTCAGTTTCTTATATAATTTATGTTTGCTTGCAGATTCAGCCCAAATCTTAAAATTCTTTACTTACTCTTTTTAATACTTTGTTAGCTTCAATAATTACACTGTTGACTTGGTTCGATGGTGTTTGACACGTAGAATTTAAGTGTTTGGCAATTTCGGCACGTTTTATAGGGATTTTGCTGCCTTCTCGAATCACAATATAGCGAACACATTCGTTAATTGCGCTCTCGATATTTTCTTCTACTTCTTCCGTGTTTGATCTATTCACACGTCTTTGAGACATTTTTAAAAAACCGCATAAACAGAATTACACTATAATAGAAGTAGTATCTAAACTACAATTAAAAAATACACCTATAATAAAAAAACAAAATCACAGATCAGAGACGATGGACAGAATACAAAGTACCTACACAAAATATTGAACAAATTATAATTATACAAGCGATTACTGTTATTTTGGTATTTGATATTCAAATTTTTAGCTAAACAAAAAAAAAAATTCAAATTAAAGAATACGACATTTTCTATAAGAGTCGCCACCGTACTTATTATTTAAGAAATTATAAAATGAATTTATGCAACTATCTAGAAATATCAATAAAGTAAAAGAAGTATTTATAGTGTGCCATAACAATGTATAATATATCTCCTTCTCAAATATATATATTAATGGATATTACAAAAATCTAGCTACTTTACAATATCAAATTTTCAAATATAAACAAATGGTTGCATAATTTCATGTCAGTATTTTTTTAATTTGGATTGACGTTCCCCAAACAAAGTAAAAAAAAATCTAACAGATTAGGTAAGAACTCAGAGAAAGTAAATTCGAGTACAGAGTAAAGTATATACTCAGAAAGAGAACTTTGTAGTGAAATTTCTCGTTCAGGAAACGAAATAAGATAAAGAGATAAGAAAAGAAGACTGAATTCCATTAGGCACTAAATTCGTCAGGAATACAGAATTTAATACATGCAAAAGAATAAATACATAAATAAAAGTATTTACAACGTATGTAGTTTTTATTTTTACACTAATTTGATGGTAGAAATAGGTAACCGAAAATGAAATGGTAACCCTGTTTGTGTTATTAGTTTACGCTCCCCAGGTACGATATTAGTGGTATCAAATCAGAAGAATGATTGGTGAAAATGAATTTCAGTTAGTAATTTATTCACCAGTAAATAATCGCAGTATATACCAGGCTTTTATGGTAGCCGATATGACGTAATGCTATTTAACAATCACTACATAATCGATCATAAATTGTTAAATATTTAAATGCACTTTTAACAAATAGCGACACTACATCGATCAAGTAGAATTAGTTATAATAGAGATTTTACTTCCTAAATTGCTCTGCAGAGAGAGCAATCAAGCAGAAAGCGAAATCAAGTAAAGAGCAGAAAGATATGTCGATAGTAAATACTAAGTAAATTTTGGCTATCTCAAGCCTGTTTGCAAGATATGTAAAAGGGGGCTGGCCTGCAAACCAAATCAGTGTATAGACTATCATTGTAAGTCCGTCAGTTACTGTTGTTACAGCTAGCGCCTATTGTTATAGTTTTGTTAAAACTTTATTTACTATTTACTCTTCGCATTATTAAGTGGTAAGATAAATATATGTATTAAATATTGGTGACTTGAATTTGTATATCTATTTAGATATAGAATAAATTAGAAACTTATTAAATATGCAATAATTAAAAAAAAAATCTACAGCCAATCATCAGATAGGCAATGTCTCTGGTGTTGTGGGTGATCATGGGCGGCGGTAGTCATTTACCATCAGGTGAGCTGCATGCTCGTTTGCCCCTTGTGTTATAAAAAAAGACAATTTATTTAATTACTTTCGAATATTTTTAATATTCAATTATATTGTAGTTATTGTGAATTAATTTTATGTAATTTATTACTTTAAGGAAATTAATGAAAATGTAACCACGTTTTGTTGTTAAATAATAAAATGATCATGGTAACACGTTTTAAATGAAATTAGTAACAAATTGAAACGTCCAATCAATGGATCGATTTTTTATTTGTAGGCACTTCAATTGGATACCAGACTCTATGGTCGATTTTTCGTTATTGGTCTTACTGGATTTTCATTAATTTCTATTCAATCAGATAATACCTGTGTGTATTTATATGCAAATAAAGCAATCACTATTCGTTTAGGTATATAATACAATATAAGACTGGATTCATAAAGAGTTCCAATGGGAATGATATACGAGAACTACATAGTTCTTTTTTTAATGGATGATACTGGAATGGTAACTCAACTTGCGCTATCGGCATACACTGGCAGGGCACCAGTGAGGGATGACAGGTGAAAATGAAATAGGTCAGTTAGCCCACCCACTATGGTTTCCAGGGGGACCGCGTGGAGGTCGACCTGATAGGTTGTATTGCTAGCATGAGTCAGACCCCATTACTAACGGTAATAAAAACCGCTTGGTAATCAAATCGATTCTTATTTTTTTTTCATGATACTGCAATAAAAACTGTCTGAATAGGTTCATATACACAAAATGAGAGGGGGGAGGGATTGTTAGTAATGCGGACTATCAGTTCGATTGCTAGCAATATACCCTATCAAATCGACCTCCACGCGGTTCCATCTGGAAACTATTATGACTAATTTATCATTGAATTCGTCGCGATGGGCTAACTCACCTGCCTTTTCATTCTCACCTGTCATCTCTCATTGGTGCCCCGCCAGTGTAGACCGACAGCGCAGGCGGGGTTACCATTTCATTATCATCCATTGAAAACAAATATAATATATTAAGTGGTTTGATAATCGTAATATTTTGTAATATTTTATCGAACCACATTCAGTTACTTTAATCTGGTTCTGATTTTATCACAATTGACAATTGAATGATATCTAATATCGATTATTTACTAACGATTTACTATTGATAACCCATACTTATAAAATCTTCCACAATAGGGCTTATTTTTAAGCGATTATAAATTCTTGATTCGACTGTAGGTATTTTTTGTACGTGATGCAATATCTTATTTTATTGCCTAAATATTTTTTTTTTTTATTTTTCAACTAAGCCAACATCGAATTTATTTTGAAAATTATCATTTAAATACCATGAAAGCCGTATACAAATTTTGCTAAATAGTAGCTTTTCATTACTAATATTTGGGATGAAAATAATATGGGGGGAGTTTACAAAATTAACATGACGAGGCCATATTATTTTGAGAGGGATTAAATTTAAATGTTGAAACTGAAAAACATTTAAATACTCATATACTTAGATTAATATTTTTTTAGAACAACACATTCAACTGTTAAATATGGAACTTTGTATTTTTTTCTCGTCTTTTCAACCAAGTTTCGTTACACTGAAATCTTCACAGTGCCTATATATTTTTTAATGTGTACTATAAACAAACTACTATTGTATGTACTATGTCTGTGGTATTAACTACTGTTTTTTTTTTTATTTTCAGAATATGCCAAAAGCTGTATTCCACTATTTTCCTGTAAAGGCTTTGGGTGAACCAATTCGCTTGTTGCTATCATATGGCGGACAAGAATTCGAGGATGATCGTGTTCCTTTTGATAAGTGGCCAGAATTCAAATCAAGTGAGTATAAATTTTGTTTAAAAAGTGATATAATTAAAAAAACTTTATACTATAATAATTTACAATTAATAAATTTATGACTAAGGGTCCCGGTTCAAAATTTAATTATCGAAAATTTTTATATGGTGTGTAAAAAATGTGTGTTCCTCTCCACAGAGACGCCATTTGGCCAGATGCCTGTGCTGGAGTTGAACGGGAAGGTATACGCTCAGAGCGTAGCCATCTCTCGATACCTGGGCCGCAAGTACGGGCTGGCTGGTGCTGATATCGAGGAAGACTTCCTCATCGACCAGTACGTGGACTTCGTCAACGACATCCGTACACGTGAGTTGGAGTTTGGCATTTATAGTATATAATGTGGTAGAGCCACGCTGTAATCCTATATGGTATTGCAGCATGAATGGGCCGGCTCGACCGGGGAAGTACCACACCCTCACAGAATACCGACGCTAAGTGGTTGCACTTTCAGTGCGATCACATTCCGTATGGTGAGTGAGGGAGTCCGGAGGCCCATCCCATACCCATCCCATACCCATCCCTTTCCTGTTCCTAAAATCCTTTCCCCAACCCCGTCCCCCTATCTTACAACACGCTACCATGGCAGTGGAATTAAAAAAAAATAACATACCCCAGGGAGGTACCAGTAACCATGTTGCTGGAGAATCCTCTCTCGAGCAACCACGCTCGGGCTGCCCTGCGTATTCTGGGGGGGGCAAAATTCCGCTCTTTGGAACCAAGGGCAAACGGAGCAAGATTTCTACGGCATCCCCTTCGCTCAATGTGAGCTTCTGCAATATCCGGGGATTACATTCTAACCTAAACGCTGTCCACCACCACCTAGAAACGGCGCGGCCGGCATTGCTCTTTCTAACGGAGACACAGATATCCTCTCCAAACGAAACTTCATACCTGACGTACCCGGGCTATAAACTTGAATATTGTTTTGTTTCGCGTGCCGATGTATGCGCGTATGTCAGAGAGGATATCTGCTGTCGCCGCCTTGGAACTCTTGAAGGTACGGACCTGTCTGTTTTATGGCTGCGCGTAGACTGCAATGACCATCCTCGCGTCTATGCATGCCTATACAGGTCCCACAGCGGTAACATCGAAACCGACCAACTCATTGAGCACGTCCAAATGGCTACAGATTCCCTGCTCGAACAGATTCCTTCCGCTGAAGTCGTGATTCTTGGCGATTTTAATGCCCACCATACCGAATGGCTTGGTTCACGTACAACCGACTATGCGGGAAGATCTGTTCATGACTTTGCTTTGGCTTATGGTCTGACGCAGCTTGTTTCTTCGCCTACGCGAATACCTGATGTGTTGGACCATTCACCTTCACTGTTGGACCTTCTGCTGACCACCCACCCAGACAACTATGTGATCTCCGTCGAAGCCCCGCTTGGATCGTCGGATCACTGTTTGGTGCGGAGCGAAGTGCCTCTTACGAGTCCGACTCCACCTCGTTCTACGGGTAGACGTCGCATTTGGCACTACAGGTCGGCAGATTGGGATGAGATGCGGATTTTTTTCGCATCTTACCCATGGAGGCAGGTTTGCTTCACACTGGATGATCCCGACGCCATTGTCGATTCCATTGCTGATGTGGTGCTTCAGGGAATGGAATTATTTATTCCTAACTCTGTGGTGCCCGTCGGTGGGAAATCCCAGCCCTGGTATGGAGCCTCCTGTAGAACAGCATCTCGTCTGAAACAGGAGTGCTTCCTAACCTGGGCTAAAGGTGTGGCGTCGCGAGATCCTAACACCAGTGCTCTTAAAAAGAAGTATAACTCTGCCTCTAGGTCTTTCAAAAGAGTTATAGCCACAGCGAAGTCAGAGCATATTAGTAGAATTGGCAAGAGATTGGCTAGTTTGCCCTCTGGGACTCGAGCTTTCTGGTCTCTTGCCAAAGCTGCACAAGGGAATTTCTGTAAGTCATCTTTTCCACCTTTGCGCAGGGAGAATGACTCGTTGGCCCAGAACGCTAAAGAAAAGGCCGATCTTCTTGGATCCATCTTTGCGTCAAACTCGACATTGGATGACGGGGAGAAACCACCACCGACCATCACGTGTTGTAGGAGCTCTATGCCTGACATTAAATTCACGCATAGCTCAGTGCGTAGAGCACTTTTCTCCCTCGAAATCCATAAGTCGAGTGGGCCTGATGGTATTCCTCCAATTGTGCTTAGGACGTGCGCACCAGAGTTGGCTCCGGTTCTTACGCGTCTTTTTCGGCTTAGCTACTCATCGGGCATAGTCCCAAAGTTTTGGAAGACTGCTCTGGTGCATCAGATCCCTAAAAAGGGAGATCGCTCAGATCCAGCTAACTATAGGCCCATAGCTATCACTTCCTTATTCTCGAAGGTTATGGAATCCATCATTAACCGTCAACTGCTCCGGTACCTAGAAGAGCACCAGCTGATCTGTGATCGCCAGTACGGCTTTCGACAGGGACGTTCGGCCGGTGATCTTTTAGCTTACTTAACACACCGATGGGCAGTGGCAATCGAGAGTAAGGGAGAGGCCTTAGCAGTTAGTCTGGATATCGCGAAGGCCTTTGATCGGGTGTGGCATAGAGCGCTGCTTTCAAAGCTACCTTCATTTGGGTTGCCTGCGAGACTGTGCATTTGGGTCGCCAGTTTTCTCAAGGAACGTAGCATTAAGGTCGTAGTCGACGGAGCATGCTCTGATTTAAAACCTTTGAATGCTGGTGTCCCGCAAGGCTGTGTACTATCTCCGACTCTGTTTCTTCTGCATATCAATGATATGTTACAGATAAGTAATATTCATTGCTATGCAGACGACAGTACAGGAGATACATTATATACCGGTCATGCAAAGATCTCGCGGGCACATACCGATGAGTGCCGGAATAGACTTGTGTCTGAAATCGAAACTTCACTCCATCAAGTTTCGATCTGGGGTGAACAAAATCTTGTCCAATTTAACCCCAAAAAGACACAAGTCTGCGCGTTTACCGCAAAAAAGACGCCGTTTGTCGTATCTCCTCACTTTCAGGGCACTTCCCTTGATAAAAAGTCGAGTCTAGGAATTCTGGGCGTTGATATATCTTGCGACGTCCAGTTTTGCGGTCATCTGGAGGAGAAGGCTAAGATAGCTTCCAAAAAGTTAGGAGTGCTCAATAGGGTGAGACGATATTTCATGCCAGAACACCGCCTGAAATTATATAAAGCCCAAGTCAGGCCGCATATGGAATACTGTTCTCACCTGTGGGCAGGAGCGCCACAGTACCAACTCCTTCCGTTAGACCGCATTCAAAGTCGGGCGGCTCGAATTATCGATAGTCAACGCCTTACTGTCCGACTTGATCCACTGGAACTGCGCAGGGATGTTGCATCTCTGTGCATCTTCTACCGAATTTATCATGGGGAGTGTTCTGAGGAATTGTTCGGATTGATACCTGCTGCTGATTTTCACCACCGTACAACCCGCCACAAACTAAAGTTTCATCCCAATCATCTGGATGAGTGGCGGTCTTCCACCGTGCGTTTTTCAAGGCACTTTCTTCCACGCACAACCATTCTTTGGAATCAACTTCCAGCAGCAGTATTTCCGAACCGATACGACAACATAACCTTCAAGAAAAGAGTATATTCCTTTTTAAAAGGCCGGCAGCACACCTGCAATGCCGCTGGTGTTGTGGGTGATCATGGGCGGCGGTAGTCACTTACCATCAGGTGAGCCGCATGCACGTTTGCCCCCTGTGTTGTAAAAAAAAAAAAAATAAATAAAAAATAGGCACTATGTAGCCTATTTACTTGGATATTTATAATTGCAGATGCGGCTGCAGCCTTTTACGAGCCTGATGCGGCGCTCAAGGCCAAGAAACACGAGGAGAATGTCAAGAACGTTTACCCGGTATTGCTGGGGAAGTTGGAGGAGATCATCAGGAGGAACAACGGACATCTTGTGTCTGGCAAGGTCTCTGGTCACACAATTGGAGTTCACTCTCATTTCTTGGGTGCATGGTATACTAATACTGTCCATGCATCCCTGTCATTTTTACTTCGTACTATCTAGGTTGTGAAGTGAGCTACCGTCTTCAATTTTCCTTTTACAATATAATATGGGGTATTTCAAAAAAACGTGTCTACAAACATTTAAAAGGCTGGCAACGCACAAGCAATTCCTCAATTCCTCTCGTGTTACAAGTGTTCATGGGCAACGGTAGCCGCTTTCCATCAGGTGGACCGTCTGCTCGTTTGCCTCCCTAACAATAAAAATAATTATAGTCGCCAAATATTGGTTTTCCAGTTCTGAACTATAGTAAACAAACAGATATCCTCTAGTATATGATGGGGATTACAAGTCTTAATGCTAACAATATATCAGAAGAAGGAGAAACTAGCTCCTTATCGTTAACAATTCCCCTGGGGGGGAAAGGGATTGTTAGCAATGGAGTTCGACATTGCTAGCAACATCCACGTGGTTCCCCCTGGAAACCATCGTGAACAATTCTTGTTGAATTCGTCACGATGGGCTAACTGACCTGCTTCATCCTCATCTATCATCCCTCACTGGTGCCCCGCTGGTGTATACCAATAGCGCGGGTGGGGTTACCATTCCATTATCACCCATTAAAAAACAATTTCCCTCTCTTTATAATACTACGAGTAGTAGGATACTGTTATCGTCTTAGTGTGACATAAATCGTCATGTAGACCCGGCATAGAATAGACCAACCCTTCCTCTCCCGTGGGTGTCGTAAGAGACGACTAAGGAAACTTAATGGTCGAGGGATGTGCAGCAGCGTCCTTCTCAAAACATCTCTAAAAGCCTAACTGCGGTTGCCAATCCACTTGCCAAGTTTGGCAACTACTGGCAAACCTCCCCTTATGAGGAAGACCTATGTTTTAGCAGTGGACAGTTAACGGTTGTATAATAAATGACATAAAAAATTAAATATGAACATAAGTTTTGAAAATAATATTATTTTCAGTTGACATGGGGGGACTTCGTGGCCGCGGGAATGTTTGACCATTTCAAGATGATGATGCAAGCTCCAGACTTGGATACAAAGTACCCGAACTTCAAGAGGTTGCAGGAAACAGTGTTGTCATTGCCTAGAGTGAAGGAGTACGTCGCGGCTGCTCAGTGATAAAATATTATAATGTTATAATGCAATATGCTGTTGGTGTTCCTTAAATAAATAAATAAATAATGTTAGTAGTACATTATATTAATAAATAAATACATTGTGAAGTACTCTTATGTCTGGAAATAGGCAATAAATAATAATATTTTATGCTGTTACGTTTATAGGCAACTAATTACTGGCAAAACTCCCCTAATGAGAAAGGCTTATGTCCAGCAGTGGACAGTTAACGGCTGAAATAATAATGTTTATAGGCAAAGATTACCACTTTCTATCAGGCGGGCTATTTTGCTTGTTTGCCATTTCATCATCACCCACATCCAACCTTATCCCCATTATTATTTGGAATCGTCGTAATATGTTTTTTATCCATATTACAAAAAGATTTGCCTTATAGTTTTACGACCGGACGTCTGCCTGACGTCAACCCTCTTTGGGAATTGTTTGCCATTCCATATTGTATAAAAATATGTTTTAAAAAATAATAAAAAAAAGGTATATCGTCTTAGAACATATAGTACAGTACCTATAAGTACGTCTATTGGGGGGAAAGGGATTGTTAGTAATGGAGATTGAGAATCCCATTGCTAGCAATATACCAAACTAGGTCGACCTCCTCGCGGTTCCCCCTGGAAACCATCATGTTTAATTCCAGATAAATTCATCACGATGGGCTTACTGTCCTGCTTTTCATCCTCATTAATCATCCTTCACTACTGCCCCGCTGGCGTATACCGTTAGCGCAGGCTGTGTTGCCACCCCATTATCACCCATTAAAAAACTTTAAAAGGCCCAATGTCCTAACTTAAAGGCCCCAAGAAAATTAGACAAATGCTACCAAAAAGTTCTTTTGCTCTACCTTAAACTTGGTTCTAGCTACGGCTCTGGGTATATATCTAGGTAAAATGTACTTATTACTTAATTACAAAAACCCAGGGCTGGAATTAGCCCGTCTTTTTTTTAAGTGGAGGTCGTCCTGATAAAGTATATTGCTAGTCTGATAGCTAGCAATGGGAAAGTTAGACACTGTTACTAGCAATTCCTTCCTCCCGGGCCTTTTAAGGTAGGACATTGCCTCTCAATGCCTCCCAATGCCTCCCCCTAGCTACGACCATATATATACCTATCTGTCGTATGGTCCCATAGAATAGAATTATAGCATAGAATGTGCCATCCCTTTCTTTTCCGTAGGTGTTGTATGTGGGGACTAAAATGGTCGAGGGATGGGCAGCAGTGACCCTCTTAAAACGTCTTCAAAGACTCAAATCCGTGGTCAACCCGACTGCCAGTTGACTGCAGATATGATAATGATGATACCCAACATGGGAACAGGATTGTTAGTAATGGGGAGGATAGTCCCCATTGCTATCAATATACCCTATCAGGTCGATCTCCACGCGGTTTCCCCTGCAAACTATCGTGTCTAATTTTTCGTTAAATTCGTCATGATGGGCTAACTGACCTGCCTTTTCATACTCACCTATCACTGGTACCCCGCCAGTATATACCGATAGCGCAGGCAGGGTTACCATGTCATTTTCGCCCATTAAAAAAGAACATGTAAATTTATAATTAAATGGAAAATGGTAATCAACGACATCAAGGAATATACTCGTAAATAACGTATTTGTGTCAAATGCGTGAACAGATGCCGCCTACCTACTCAGTTATTTTCCAAAACACCGAAATCACACATTGCAGGCCGTCATGAATATTTGGAATATTGTTAGATGACGTCACTAGACAAATAAAGCTGCTGGGCGCATGCGTTTCACGCGTTCACGCAACGCACGCCGGCCGGCGTGCGGCGAGTCGCGAGTCGAGTATTTACCGAGTGCGCTTAGCAACAAGCAACAACAAACATTCTGTTCATTATTCATCCCGCCGGGCCGGCCGGCAAACCAGTCTTTCGTTCCAAACCACCAAGCGAAGTCATTCAGTCAGTTACTGTTCATAGCAACAGCGGGAGTGTTGATATTGTTGTTTTAAATCAGTTTATATTCGCTTTTTTCTCCTCATTTTATTAATAGGTAAGATCAATATTATATGTATTACATTCTAATATAAATTTAAATAGACAGGTGTGGAATAATAGTTTAGGATTACTCGTAAAATAAGCATTGGTTACGGAATAAATACAGTATAACTCCGGTAGTATTCGGTATTTTTGTAGGTAGGAATTTATTTGATTACTTTCTTAGCTTTAAGAGTGAATGATTTTTACGCGAATTAAATATTGTTAATTGATTTCATTACCTACTTATTCCTTTTTTTTCATTACATGCATACAAATATTATGTGGTTGTCCTTTCAAGTTAAATAATAAATTGATTTACAAGTAAATTTCTAAATGATAGTTCGTAATCGCTATGAATCTTCACTGCCTGGTTTTTTCGCGCGTATTTTTTCTTCGTATCTAGCTATCGAATTTTCTTCCACTAGTCCACTGTTCGTGTAGATTTATTTATACTATGTTACCGAAAATGAGATTATGTTCTAAAAAAAAAAAAAAAAACTATCTCACTGTAAGTGAGTAATTTACATTTTGTAGGTAGGTATTTTGTAAATAAAAAATTCTACTTTTTTAATTTCGTATATGTTTATTAATATAGTTTATGGCTTATTAACATGATTATTTAGGTTAGTTTACTTAAATTCTAGACATCACATTTCGTTAGTTGGCGGTGTAGTAAATTGAAATACTGCCATTCTTAGGAACTCACTTTAGTTTTTAGAACTCATTTCTCTTTATTTCAATCTCAAAGATATCTGTTAAGATATGACAATTAGATGAAGTGAAATTGAAGTGAGTTGTGAAATAAGTTCGAATTTTTAATACTAGCTTAGCTGTTATCATGTTAACCAGGAGGTTTGGTTTAGACACAAGAATTTTTTTTTTATACAACTTAGAATGGCAAACAAGCTGACGGCCCACCTGATGGAAAGCGGTAACCGTCGCCTATAGACACGAGCAGTGTAATAATTAAAAGGAATAGGTTGTATTTCGAGTTTTTCTTTTTTTTATTTCATTTAAAAAAGAAAATACCTCCATACTAATATAATCTCAAAATCTTTAGTTGGTTTTTTATCTATGTTTTTTGGAGAAAAGTTTACTGGTAGAACATCTTTACACATTTAAAAGAATGTTAATGATTTTGATTTTATTAATTTTTGTATGTGTGCAACGAAAAATGTATTTATGTATGTTGCAGAAAATGCCGAAGGCAGTGTTCCACTATTTTCCCGTGAAGGCTTTGGGCGAACCCGTCCGCTTGCTGCTTGCGTATGGCGGTCAGGAGTTCGAGGATGACCGTATTCCGTCTGACAAGTGGCCAGAATACAAACCAAGTAAGTATACTTAAATATTTAAAAAAAATGCAAATAAAAGATAATAATATTTTTATAAAAAATTGCATTTAATCGTTTTCTAAATGTCTGTTATAAATCAGTACGTAGTACTTTATACTATGTCTATAGTTATAAATAATGTTTGTTTTTTTTTAATACTGACCGTTAATTAAGTGGCCAGAAAACCATAGACAAATTGAGAAAAATCTATACCCGTTTAAAAAATGATTTAACTCAATAGGTTAACACCTCTCCGGAGGTATGAAACAAATCTGAAAGATATTACTTATTATTATTTCAATAAATAAGGATACTTAGTACCTTTTTTATAATACCTACATATATAGTTTTTGTATATCTGTTTAACATTCCATTATAATTATATGTAATACCAATTGTGATTTTAGTACAAACATGGAATAAACGATACAAGGTATAGATAGTAAGTGCTTATAGATAATAAGATTAAAATCTTGTTTGTACCAAGCAACAGTATGTGTGATCATAAAATCTATCAGTATTAAGTACTAAGTACGTAAGCACTCATTGTAATAAACAATGATAACCAATTGACTATCATAATTTGTTCTTTTTAAATTTTCAAAAAAAGAACTTTCGACTGCTTGTGCCCCAGTCTCTAGGCGGGAGATATTATAGTAATATAGGTAGAATATGCTGCCTTTGTTTTCAAAAAAAAAAGCATCGAATTCAAACGTGGCAGAATTAGTTATTCTGATGTAAAAATTTAAAAACCTATGTTACCAGTGTTAGTTTTTTTTATCAGTTTTTTTATATACTTACGCACATAATGTGTATGGACGTATTATTTAATAAAAAAGGAGTAATTATGTATTAAAAAGACGCAGAAATATAAGACAAAATAAATAATGAAGTTATAAAGGAATCACTCATAACTATTTATCATGTAAATATCTATGAAATAGTTGACTCGCTTTTCTCGAAGCATTTGTATCGAGACACTCTGTTTTATCAAAGGCTAAGGTATATAATGTGTCACTGCACTGCATATAATATACTTGGATAAATGTATTTCTTTTCTATTAGTTGTATTTTTATAAATTTTTAAAAGTTTTAAAATTTTTTTAAATCGGGTATTTAGATTTTTCTATAATTAAGGTCGTTTGTTTTTTGTGAATCACAATTTTAAATTATTAATTCCTCCGCCATGTAGGCGGATCTTCATGAGACCTTGGTTATCTTTACTTAACTTGGCCCCATTGATTGTCACGCACAAAAAGCAACATGGCTGCAATTATGTATAATTCCATGGCTGACAACGAATGCTGTAAAGTCGATAACAACGACAGTAATATTGTTTGTGACGATGCGACCTCATTCGAGTTGTAAGACACTTGTTTTATGTGCATATAGATAATGTAATTATTATAAACCAGCGCATTCAGCGTTCAGGAATGAATGCAGTTTTTTATAATAGTATCAATACATAGTATAAAACAGTCGCTTCCCATCTGTCTGTCCCTATTTATGTTTTTTTTAATGCGTGATAATGGTATGGTAACCCCGTGTGCGCTATCGGTATACGCTGGCGGGGCACCAGTGATAGATGACTGATGAGGATGAAAGCAGGTCAGTTAGCCCATCCTTACGAATTCAACTAGAATTAGCCACGATGATTTCCAGGGGGAACCACGTGGAGGTTGACTTGACAGGGTATATTGCTAGTAATGGGGCTATTTGATCCTATTACTAACAATCCCTTCCCCCCTCCCTATATATGTTTAGGTTTTTAAAACTATACAACGGATTTTGATACGGTTTTTTTAATAGATAGTGATTCAAGAGGAAGGTTTATATGTATAATACATGTATAATATAGTAGTGAAACACTGATAGTTGAGATTTCTAATGTGATGTATCCGTGCGAAGCCGGGGCAGGTCGTTAATCAATGTATAAATATCTCAAAAAAGTTTTTTTTTTAATTGATGGTAATGGAATGGTATCCCGGCTTGCTCTAACGGTATATGTTAGCGGGGCACCAGTGAGGGATGATAGGTGAGGACCAAAAGACAGGTACGTTAACCCATCAAATTCAGCATGATGGTTTCTAGGGAGGAGCACGTGGAAATCGACCTGACAGATTCTATTGCTAGCAATGGGACTGGTTTAAACTAATGTAGACTCTTTCCTAACAATCTCTCCCCCCTTCCTACAAAGAAAGGTTAATGATAGCGTGTAATCGGTGGGGGGGGGGGGGGACGGTTTGTTAGTAATGCGGACTCTAGTATTCCTTTTGCTAGTAATATATCCTGTCAGGTCAACGCATGGGGGTATCATAGGCGAAACAATATACTCTGTTATGTCCATGGTACTGCTCATGTCTATAGGCGACGGTTACCACTTTCCATCAGGTGGGCAGTCAGCTTGTTTGCCATTCTAAGTTGTATAAAAAAAAACCTCCATGTGTTTATACCATGTGTATTCATCACGATGGGCTAACTGATCTGCCTTTTCATTCTTGCCTATCATCCCTCACTGGTGCCCCGTCAGTGTATTCCGTTGAAGCAGGCGGGGTTACCAATCTATTATCATACATAAAAACAAGAGCGTGTGACCAGAATAGACTGGTTTAATTTATAATATTATTCTGGATTAATGATTGATCATCGTTATGGCCTCTGTACACCAATCATTAATCTACGATTAACACACGGTGGTAAAGAATCGTGCAACTTACCTGTGTGGGCGAGGTACCATTATGTATACATTTTTTACGATAACATGGTACGCCCCTTAAAAATACAAAGAATTAAAAATGTGTATGTAAAAATATTTACGAGGTTTCGACCAAGGAATATAAAAGTCCTCTGGCCGGATCGATACTGAAGACGTTTCCTCACAAACATAGACAGAGCATCACGTTTTTTTTTATACAACTTAGAATGGCAAACAAGCTGACGGCCCACTTGATGGAAAGTGGTAACCGTCGCCTATAGACATGAGCAGTACTATGGACATAATAGCGTATACTGTTTCGCCCATGACACCCCCCTTGAAATGAGGCAAACCAACTTAATAAAGAAGAAAGTAAAGTAATACCTTTTCGGTTATGAAAACAAGCAAATCTATGAGTCATGTCTAATAATATTTCGTAACTTACCGCACACTATTATATATCTCTTAAGTAGGTTATCTCTCATGGCAACACGAACTGTCTATGTTACCATAATAGATAATATGCGATATGAAGTGGACGGGTTGTATACGTATTTTTCGGTATTTTCGTTCCAAAGTTAAAATTTAGTAAAATCACCAGAGGGAGACTTTGTATAAAAGTCGATTGCTTGGATACCTCTGTCCCATTCGTGTTTCTACCGTGAAGCAGTTGTGTTTGCATGGCTGTGTTTCGGTTTGAAGGGTGGGATATGGCGTGAATTTACTGGGTACGGAGGAATAACACCTGAGTCCTCAGGAATTGCAACGCATGGAGGGGTATCATGGGCGAAACAGTATGTGTGTGTACTGTTATGTCCATGGTACTGGTCATGTCTATAGACGACGGTTACCACTTTCCATCAGGTGGGCCGTCAGCTTGTTTGCCATTCTAAGTCGTATAAAAAAAATCAAAAATATATACTAACTATAAAAAAAAACAAAAGATAGTCTATGGTCACAACAATAATTTCTAATGGAGTTTGTTGCGTTATTTTTTTTTAATGGATGATAATGAAATGCTAACCCCTTCCGCGTTATCAGTAAACACTGGCGGGGCACCAGTGAGGGATGATACGTGAGGATGAAGTCAGGCCAGTTCGCCTATTGTGACGAATTTAACAATAATTAATCACGATGGTTTCCAGGAGGAACCGCGTGTAGGTCGACCTGACAGGGTATATTGCTAGCAATGGGGATTAACGTCCCCATTACTAATACTGCTGCTCCCACTGTTGCGTTGATTATTTCTGTTGAGATTAAGAAACTGTAAATAGATACTAGAAAGCTACAACTATTATTAGTCGTGCGAGGGTGTCGCCCTCTGGTATGTATTTATAGTTTAACTCCCTTATTCGTAAAAACCAAAACTTTATACAAATCTATTTTAAGTTTTACACTATTTTGTCAATTTCTAATTGAGACAGAGAGAGAGAGAGATAGACATATAAGAGACATATCATAATCTTCAAGAAAAGAGCACATTCCATTTTAAAAGGCCGGCAGCATACCAGCAATGACTCTGGTGTTGCGAGTAATCATGGGCGGCGGTAGTCACTTACCATCAGGTGAGTCGCATGCTCGTTTGCCCCGTGTGTTGTAAAAAAAGAGATAAAACAGTTCAATAGCTAAAATAATTTTATAAGAGAATTGACGTTTTTATGAATAAGAGGGTAGTTGAACTGCTCTTGACAGAAGCAGTTTTTATAGCTATACAATATATTGTATATTGTATTATGTAATAATATAATAAAATATATAAAATATTGTCTCTGGCATGGTAATATATTATATAACTTTAACTTTTTTTTTTTATACAACATTGAATGGCAAACAAGCTGACGGCCCACCTGATGGAAAGTGGTAACCGTCGCCTATAGACATGAGCAGTACCGTGGACATAACAGAGTATACAGTTTCGCCCATGATACCCCCCATGCGTTGCCATTCCTGAGGACTCAGGTGTTATTCCTCTGTACCCTGTAAATTCACGTAATTCAATAACTATAACTTTATACTCTTACTATACTTAGTAACTCATCAAGTTCAAACACTAACCTTATTTTGTCTTCTTGAAGTCATAATCCTTACTATTATATTAATTATAAGTATGAAAGTAAGTTCATTTGACAAATTTTGACACCTTAGTACATACTAGTTGTATCTGTTAACTTCGCTCGCATTAGTACATTAAGTATCCTGTGTACTAAGTTAGGATATGACCTACCTGTGTACCAAATTTCGTTCATATTCATTCAATATTTTTTTTTGCGAGAAAGAGTAACAAATATCCGTTCTTTCATCTACCATTATTAAATTTCGTATTTATAATATTTTAATGGAAATAGAATAGAAAAATCTATTTAAATTTCGCCTTAATTTCGATTCGGAGTGTTTAAATAAAAAAAAAAAGCTTCGAAGCAATCTTCTACCACAGCGTAGAACAAGCAAATTTTATCCATTTACGCTTCAAAAGATTACAGCGATTGTTAATATCCTGTATGTATATGTAGGCAATATTGGAGTATATATACTGCGAATATTAAATTTATCGTCATAGAAATAAAGTCGAAAATGTAACGCACATCGTAGCACCAAAACCTAGAACGTTCTCATGTCTAAAGTTCCAATTATATTGACCTTGACTGCGACGATTTTATTCATGGCCAATGAGTCATGTGTCAATTTTTAAACTCTATTTCTATGCTGATTAAAGCGCATTATACAATGTGTTTTTTTTTGTATTTTGCTAGTCATTCCATTGTTAGTGTTCCAATGCAATCTTAACAATTGGAAATTAATTTTTATAAGTTCTAAATAAAAAACGAAATGAATTGTTATAAAATTCAAAATATGTACATATATAATAACAACTAAAATATATTTTTATTTATAAAAATAGAATAAATATGACAATACAGCGCAAAGTGTCGACTCATCTCGCTATCGATTGTCCTTCGTTCGATGACAGAGTCCTTTGTTCGATGCTTTGGTATTTTTCGCGCTATAGTTGTTACTCATTGCGCCCCACTGCAATTGATAATTATCTTAGCAGCTCTCTAAGACGATCAGTTCGCATTACTAACAATCTCCCCCCCCCCACCCCCATAATGATGGTGTTTATAACACAACCACAGTTAGGTTTTAGTGATGTTTTAAGAAAAACGCTGCTGCTCATCCCTCGACTATAACATACTATACCATAGCATAATAGTTAAATTGAAAAGTTTTCAAAGAAACAAAAGAAACAAAGGCGAAAAGTTACAAACAAGTTCTGAGTCTCCCACACACGGTGCCTCCAACTGTCAAGCTAGAAAAAATATTCAGTTTGATTAATTGCACTAACATTGAATATTACCATGTGGTTCCGGTATAGAATAGGCCACCCCTTCCTTTCCTGTGGGTGTTGTAAGAGCCGACTAAGAGAACTTAATGGGCAGTCCTGCTCCTTCTTCATTTATAGCCTAACCATGGTGTCCAAGGGGAAAAAGGATTGTTAGCAATGGAGTTTGACAGCCCCATTGCTTACAATATGTCCTATCAGGTCGATCTCCACGTGGTTCCCCTTGGAAACCATCATGAACAATTCTTGTTGAATTCGTCAGGATGGGCTAACTGACCTGCTTCATCTCATTATCCAACCCTCCTGCCAAGCGCGGCAACTATCGGTAAAACTCCCTTAATTATGGGGAAGTCTTATTTTCAGCAGTGGACATAACTGTCCACTGTTAACACAGCTAATATGACGGTGATAATTAACACTCTAGAATACTAACGTTTTACCCTAAGTAAATAGAAATAATGTGACATCCACTCCACAGAAACACCATTTGGCCAGATGCCTGTGCTGGAGTTGAACGGGAAGGTATACGCTCAGAGCATAGCCACCTCCCGGTATCTGGGCCGCAAGTACGGGCTGGCTGGTGCTGATATCGAGGAAGACTTCCTCATCGACCAGTACGTGGACTTCCTTAATGACATCCGCGCAAGTGAGTCGCAATTTAGTATTCATGTTTTCTTTACCACATCTTTCTATGTATCCCATTACTACTTACTGAGCAAAGACATCGTATCTGACACCAAAATGAGGCTTGAAAGACCTAATTTTGGGTAAAGGGCATTGCAGCCTTTTGAGTTTAAAATTGGACCTAATTATGCAGAAAATAGCTATCTTTAATGGACATCCCAAGTAATGTGGCTGTTTTTTGCATAACTGGATTCTGTGATATCTATTTAGACGAATTAGCGAAAAATATACATACGTTTTGGGACACGTGTTTCACCTATAATCGAGGCATTTTCAGGCAAATTATTAGATCCCTGTTCGGACACTAATGTAGCCTCATAATAATTTACTTGAAGATACCTTGTTTAGAGGTGAAACACGTGTCGCAAAACGTGCGTGAATAAAATGGCAGTCGGAGATTGAAGGCTAGTATGGAAGGTTGTTAAAGTTCTGGTAGTAACAGTGGTGGCCAATCTTCAAATGTTGGCAGTCACACACATACTGATGGCAGCGGAATTAAACAAAATAGTTCTAAACTAATGACATAAACATGTATCTTAAACTTACATTATTTATTATTTTAAAATTGTAATATGTATTTTTACAGAGGCAGCTACCGTCCACTACGAGCCTGACGCGGCGCTCAAGGCCAAGAAACACGAGGAGAACGCCAAGAACCTGTACCCGGTGTTGCTCGGAAAGCTGGATGACATCATCCGGAAGAACAACGGGCACCTCGTAGCTGGCAAGGTTGGTCTCTGTCGCACAGTATTAGTCGCCAGTTATTGCTTTTATAATAATGTCAAGCTTTTGACTGTAATTTTATACGCGTGGATTTTGGAGGGACGTGAGCACTTCTAGATGGCATATTATATCAAGATAAAACATACATCTGGCCTTCTGGAGCAGAATTCTAGAAACACAAATGTATAAAACTGCATTCAATTTGGTGCAGTTTTAGCCTGATGCCGGAACAAACATACAGATAGACAACACAAAATTTCTAAAATCTACGATATTGGCATTTATTGGAATTATTAAGAACAAAAAGACCGCAAAAGAACTAAAGTAACCGACATAGCCCGAAGGATAAGCATACTGAAGTGGCAATGGGCTGGTCACATAGCTCAAAGAACTGAACTGGTCGGGAAGAAAGTTTCTTGAGTGGCGACAAACGCAGTGTAGGACCCCAACGCCCTCCCCCCACTAGATGGAGTGACCACTTAAATGTATTGCAGGGAGTCAGTGGATGCAGGTCGCTCAGGACTGTTCCTTATGACAGTCTATTGGAGAGACCTATGTCCAGCAGTGATGATGGTGATGATATTATTAAGACCAATTCCTGTTTATACACGCTCGTCGATTTTAGGTACTTATAATTTGGCCCTTTTTCATCCCGTCGCTTATTTGAAGAACATTTACTTCAATCCTAGCAAAACCCGTTATTTTATTTTACTAAACTACTAAATTGATTTTCATAAAATTTCGGAAAGTAACCTTTCAGATAAAAAAAAAAAAGTATTTTCCAAATACATAAAAAAAAACATAAATGTACATAAAAAAGAATAACTGAATGGAAAATCGAATCTCTTATTTTGAAGTCGATTGGAAAACACGAAAATAATTTTGTTTACAGTTAACATGGGGGGATTTCGTGTTCGCGGGAATGTACGATTATCTCAAGGCGATGCTGCAGTCCCCAGACTTGGATACAAAGTACCCGAGCTTCAAGAAGTTGCAGGATACAGTACTGTCCTTGCCTAAAGTGAGGGAGTACGTCGCTGCTGCGCCACCTACTGAGTTGTAAGAGGTTTACAGTGGAGGAGTAAGGATTCTTTATTGTTACAGCTGAGGTTTATTTGCTGTCTTAAATAATATGTAGATGGAGCGTCACAAAATGACCCATAAACGGTCAGCTAACTGTTATTTAACATGTCGTTTATCTTTAGATTATTCTTGTTTTAGATCAGTCGTTCTAAAATCTAAAATTACACGGTGATCAAGTATTGTGCAAATCGTCTGTGTAAGTAGCGTTTAAATGTTTAATTTTTTAATATTCTGCACGCTATTTGAACAATGTGCCCTAAATGTTTGATTCTATAACACTAATTAAGATCTGTTTCAAACATATTTATGCAAATAATATTATTAATATTACAATAAAATTACAAACAGAATGAAAAAAAAAAAATATAGATAACATAATAAATATAAGTAAATAAAATGAAGCTAAAAATCACAATTTAAAAGATCATTACTATATATTGCGAAAAGCGCGCCAATAAGTTTTTTTTTTTAAACTTATTGGCGCGAATTTGAAAAGAAAAAAAAAATGTTTTTTTTTTTAGCATTTATAGTTATGTTATTGATCTAATGTTGAATAAGTCACAAATTAAGATGATATGCTCCATTCTTTATTCTAACAGCTTAATAAGTGTCTTATTTCTATAAATACTAAGAGACACGTAAACACCAATATATAAAGTTTTATTTGGGACCTGTCATCTTTAAACCAGGTAAAGAAAATTTATTTGAAAAGACTGCAACACGCTATGTTCTCATATTGACAGGGCCGTAGCTACCCCCATGTTTAAGGTAAGGCAAAAGAACTTTTTCGTAGGGCTGGAGCTATAATTGACTTCGAAAAAGCAAATTGTCTAATTTTCTTGGGACCTGTCATTGTAAGGTAGGGCATTGCCCGTCAATGCCCCTCTTCCCTCTCAGCTACGGCCATGCATATTGATTATTTAAGCTATTATTACCGGTATTTGTTTTCATATAATTTTATTACGTAACTATATAAGTGTACCGTTTACAGAGTACTATATAAGTGTACCGTTTACAGAGTAATCCTTGTTGTAGATTTTGAGAGAGTATTTTGTGTACTGTTATATGCGTTACGTATATTTGAGTATTACATGAAAATTATACTATTTTTAGCAATATATTATTATAAAAAAATAATTGTTGTTTTATTTGTTTTCATATTATAATTTTTTTCCTACACAGATTTTTAGTAAGGAGTCGGTAGATGTAGGTGACTTAGGATCGAGGATATTCAGTAGTGGCTGATATGATGAGGATGAGATTTTTAGCATTTTTCAGCGTCAATTGAGCAGATAAAAGTATATAAAATTCACTTCAATAACATTAGATAGGTACAGATCTCTTTATTTTTTTTTATAATTAGAGTCTGTGTGTAAAGGTGAATTTATCTCAGAGAGAGATCTCTTCCAGTCAACCTCACGTCGAAGCATAGGTGGCTAGGTGACTTATATCATATAATATAAGGCGGATAAATCCGCCTGTCAATAGTGGCAATTATGACTAAAACCCCCCATATGGGGGAAAGCCTATGTTCACCAGTGGACAGTTAACGGTTGATGTAATAATAAAACGGATTGGGGAAAGGGATTGTTAATAATGGAGACTGGGAATTCCATTGCTAGCAATATACCCAACCAGGTCGACCTCCTCGCGGTTCCCCCTGGAAACTATCATGGTTTATTCCTGATGAATTTATCATGATGGGCTAACTGGCCTGTTCTCATTCTCACCTATCACCCTTCACTGGTGCTCCGCCAGCGTATCCCGTTAGCGCAGGCGGGGTTACCATTCCATTTGCACCCATCAAAAAAAAAACGGATAAACTCAAAAACTACTCAGCCGATTTTAAAAATTCTTTCATCTATAGAAAGGTAGAATATAGGCGAGTAATATAGGTGATATATTATTTTCGAAAATACTATTTACCCGTTCGGAGAGTAGTTAGTACATTTTACCTTTTTAGTACTGCAAAAAAAAAAAAATGGAGCGGCGGACAGATAATCAGCGAGACAGCGTAATCGTGTTTACCTAAGTGCATTTATGATAAAAACACGAAAGTACTCGTTACAAATCTCTTATCATACAGTTTGTTGCTAGGCGTATCCATTTTTGTACAATATAAAAAAGTCACCGCAAGACTTTTTTATATTACGAAAATGGAATGGTAGCAGCGCCTGTACTTTCGATATGTCATGATAGGGATACCACGTGGGTAGTGATAGATGATAGGTGATGATGAAAGCACGTGCTGTTAGTCCATCGTCACGAATGTCACAAGAAATTAACTACTATAGTTTTCAGAGGGAAGCACGTTGAGGTCGAAAAAAGATTAAAATCATTCTATCTTTCCAATTTTGTTTAAATATAAAAAATGATTAGAAGACTGTCACACTTTTAATTTCTGTCTTGCACTACTACTGCCCACTAACTACTTCCTATGCCACTGTGTTAGGTTGACTGAAAGAAATCTCTTTTAGAGATAAGTTCGCCTTTGCCAACATTGTTATTAACTTATTGTTGTTTTAGTGCAATAAAGAATATATAGCGCGGGCGAGGTATTATTCCATAGTCATCCATTGAAAAAAAAGCTAACAATCTTCTATACTTATAATAAATCTGTAGAGGGGTCAATTCTGTTCATGAAATATATTTCCAAAATAACTATCAGGGAGTGATCGATACTGATGCCAAAAATGCAATCATGTAAAATTTTTATCTGTCTGTATGTTCGTTATAGAAACAAAAACTACTAGACGGATTTTAACGAAACTTGGTACAATTATACTTCATACTCCATAGGTAGGTTATAGTATACTTTTCGTCACGCTATGATCCATAGGAACAGAGCAGTGAAGGGAAATGTTAAAAATGTCCACCCGTGTGACGCCGGGACGGGTCGCTAGTGACCAACAACGAAACTTTTGTTATCGTGTCGTAGAAAGGTAAGTTTACCTATATAAAAAAGTTTAATACTTTATCTAGTCCCATGACAGAGGTCGAAGTACGACAGTCTAAGCCAAGGTGTGAGTTGGAATTTCGTCAGTTCACAAGTTAGACACGTGAAATTTTAGATTTAGGATCTTAGTTCAGGACAAAAGTTAATATGTTTATTGGCTTTTGATGAATTCTCCCCTAAAGGGATGAAATAGGAGATGAAAGTTTGTATGGGAGTTCTGTTATAATTGAAGCTAGATGTATGAATTTTTAATTGTAGACTTGTTATTAGAAGCAAAAATTATTTTTAGTCTTTTGGAAATTTCACCCCCCTAAAACAACACGCGAGCGAAAGTCGCAGGCAAAAGCTAGTATAGATATATAAAAAGAAATTGGATTTTGAGATTGTTTATTATTTTTTGACGCCTTAGCGGCTAAACTAATAACTATAATAACTATCATCATCATCATATCTGTCACGCCTCTCTCCCATTAGGGTAGGCAGAAACAATGGAACGCCAAATGCTTCGATTCAAACAAACCTCTTTCGCTTCTTCCACATTCATCAATCTTGTCATACACGCTCGTCGGTTACGGGTACTTTTAATTTGGCCCTTCTTCAGCACGTCGCCTATTTGGTCGACATACGTCCGTCTAGGGCGGCCCCTACCGACATCTCCATTCATTCTTGCTCGATAAATCTCTTTCGTAATTCTTCTTTCATCCATCCTATAATAACTAAGAAAATAATAATAAATTTGGCGTACACGTAATGTCTGTTTGGCATGGAGAATTCCTACGGATATCGCCGATAACATGCAAAAACATTGTATAATATCGCGCAATTGAACAAAAAATGTTAGATAATGAATATTCTGATAAAAAAGTCTATCGTTGATTTACTAAATGCGATATACGATACGATACTGTCAAGTGTGTAACGCATGAATATTATAGGTAGTTCTTTTCAGGGACGGACTGGGTCGGAAGGGCCCGGGTGGCTGACCACAAGCCCGGCGCCCGAGACTGATGAGATGATGGTAGTTGCACCAGTTGGTAGCGGCACCGTAAGCCATGTAAGTCAGGCCCGTGGGCCATGCGTATCTATAGATTCGCTTGCCAATTATCTATAGGAACAGTTCCTTACAAATAGAATTGAGGTGCCAAAGGTTTTCTTTTCACAGATTTAGACAGGTTTCCCTAGAGACTACAGTATGGGGTTCTTCAAAAGGTGTATTAAGGTTTCTTCAAGGTCGGAAATGTGCGCGTAATACCCCTAGTGTTACAGGCGTCCACAGGCTGCAATGATTATTTCAGAGGGATTTTACCAGAGGGAGACTGTACAAAAGTCGATTGCTTGGGTACCTCTGTCCCATTCGTGTTTCAACCGTGAAGCAGTTGTGTTTGCATAGCTGTGTTTCGGTTTGAAGGGTGGGATATGGCGTGAATTTACTAGGTACAGAGGAATAACATCTGAGTCCTCAGGAATGGCAACGCATGGGGGGTATCATGGGCGAAACAGTATACTTTGTTATGTCCTTTCCATCAGGTGGGCCGTCAGCTTGTTTGCCATTCTAAGTTGTATAAAAAAAAGATAGTTTGTATGGTTGTCACCTTTATGGTATAAAAAAAAATTGTACAAATATGTCAACAACAGTGAATTTTATTAATTTTTATAATAAACAATCAAGTAGATAGTGATATCTGTGTTTTTTTACCGTCCAAATTATTGAGCGAGCATGAACCAGTTTTCACTATTTTTAGCGATACAAATACTGTTTTTTTTTAAACTAGTTGTATCATGCGACCTCGCTCGCGTAAATCATTACAGTATATCTTGCTTTTTAGGTTAGGTTATAAACTATCCGGGTTTCAATTTTTTTTTAGATGGGTGAAAATGGTATGGTAACCCCGCCTGCGCTAACGGGATACGCTGGCGGGAGCACCAGTGAAGGGTGATAGATGAGTATGAAAACAGGCCAGTTAGCCCATCATGATGAATTCATCAGGAATTAACCATGATAGTTTCCAGGGAGAACCGCGAGGAGGTCGACCTGGTTGGGTATATTACTAGCAATGGGATTCTCAGTCTCCATTACTAACAATCCCTTTCCCCCCAGGATAGAGATATTTGATTGATGAAATATAAGCTGGTGTGGTCCCGGCATAGAATGAGTCACCTCTTCTTTTCCAGTGGGTGACGTAAGAGGCGTCTAAGAGAACTTAAAGGTTGAGGGATGAGCAATATTAAGCATGGGGGGTATCATTGGCGAAATAGTATACTCTGTTATGTTCATGGTACTGCTCATGTCTAGGCGACGGTTACCACTTTCCATCAGGTGGGCCGTCAGCTTGTTTGCCATTCTAAGTTGTATATTCCTAATTACTAATCTAGTATATAACCTACACGTATAGCAAATTTTATTTAAAACCGTTCAATAGTTTTTGCGTGAAAGAGTAACAAATATCCATTCATCGTTACAAACTTTCGCATTTATTATATTATAAAATAATTATCACAATAATAGGATTCTCTTTACCAATTACCGACAAAATAAATACAATTTTTATTATATTTTTATTTAGCAATTTTTTTATTTACTCATAAACAATAAATTGTAATTTAATGTAGAATAAAAGTTACACTAAAATTCATTCAGTGCATAAAAAATAAATTAAATTAAATACAAAAACAAAAATTACGAGCAATACATAGTCAATTTATTATCATCTCTTAACACAAATAACATATGTATATCGCAATAAGACCGCCTTTTGTACTTCACTATACTTACCGAAAATTCTTCAACAAATCCTGTAATGTTGTTGCAATAAAGTGTTAAATAAATAAAATAAAAATATTTAAATTTACTATAGTATTCATTCATTTATTTTAACATCCATTGTATAAGTAGGTAGATATTACATTTATTTATAGTATATGTATTTATGTAATATTTTATTATGTATCTTAATATTTTATTTAACTGTATATTTGTTTATGTACTTTAAATATTAATAGTTGTAGCACTTCAGCTGCCCGCTAACAACATGTTTTCTAACTGCATTGGGTTGACTGGAAGAGATCTCTGTCAGAGATAAGTCCACCCTTGCTCAGAATATTTATAAATGCATTAACAATGTAATTTACAAGTGCAATAAAGAATATATATATATATATATATATATATATATAGTAAGAATTCGTCAATTGAGTACTAACACCGCTCTAGCAATAATAACTTCAATTTTGTCTTAAAGTTATTTAAGTCATTCAGTGACTTTAAGTATTTAGGTAGCTTATTAAATTATATAAATAGGTATCTACCTATGTGTACAAGGTTTGGGGCTTTCATATCAGCAAAAGGAATCCTATATTTAACTTGTAGACGAACTATCAGCTTGACCGGTATCAGTCGTTGACGACAGCTCGAAGTAGAAAACATATCGCTTGTAAGCATCTAGTTGTTTTTTGGAAACATTGTTATTCGGATTGTAAGTATCTTATATTTTTCTACTGAACTTAAATAACAGAATTCCAACTGTGTATTTTTTGCATGCAGTTTATCCAACGAATTCTGAATCTATATTAAATTTTTTTTCGCATTTATTTTTGTTCTGTATTGACCAAAAAATGGTGATTTTAATCATGGGTAAAATAAGCAAATAATTATTTATAAATCGGAGATTTATTTAATATTATAATTGATATGTTCATCTAGTTTTAAGCTTAGAAAGAAAGAAAGAAAGAAATGTTTTTGTTCAAGTAAACTTAGATATAAGCATTTTTGAATAGTAATTTTCCATTACTTATTTACTTATAACATAATTTTTGCGAACATATTGTTGGTGTATCTTTTATAAATAAATAAATAAATAATATTATTTAATTATTACGATCTATAAATATTTATTGTGACAAATATTTAGAATTAACATCTATGTGCTATAAATATCAAGAACAAGTAATTAAAAAATTAAAAAAATATTTAAAGATAAAAAAATTCTTTGAGATCACTGCCAGCTGATAAGGTGCTTAGGACACTTGCTGCATTTCCACGCTGAATAACAATGGAAATGCGTTGAGGTTTTTAAAGACACTATTTATTTATTTATTCATTAGTACATATATTTGTACATGGCGGACTTAATGCTAAAAGCATTCTCAGAATACTCGAATGCGGTACTAGTAATTATTGATATACATACATAATAAAATTACATATATAAACTAATAAATATATGTTAATAACAAATATACTTACACATATATTATTATTATATTTAGTACTCTAACTTATTAAAATTACCATAATTAGTAAGTCTAAATCTAAAGTTACGAATATACCAAATAAATAATGTCAAAAATAAATCATTATAATTAATATATTATAAATAAAAAATAATAATATATTAGTCATAAATTTATAAGAAAATATTAATTATTTATATTAATTTTAAATATAACAATATTCAAAACTAAACGTCGTCAATAAAGAAGCAGGTATGTATGCACTATTTACCTGCAAATGACCAACGCGTTAAGTTCTGATAGTGTATTTAAAATATGGTTAAAATAGTCGTTTCTATGCAAGAAAATCTTATTATTCAAAAAGGTAACTTCTCTTGTTAGACCCATATTAATTTTGCATAGTTTAAAACTGGTATTTTTTGTGCAAACTGATATTTTAAATCTCACTTTGAAATTATGAAAACTCATTCTATTATAATTTCAATTGACTTCAAAAATTCCTCAATTCGGTTGTATTTTTTTATGTTTGTTACCTCATAACTCCCGTCAGTTGTAAATCGATTTGGGAAATAATTTTTTCATCTGAAATTCAAATTTAAATTACCTTTAATCAAATAGACTTGTTTACAAGCACTTTTAAATCATCACTTTTTTAATCTACCGCAGGGTGGGGGAGGTTGTTATCTGTTGAGAAGAGCCCAAAAGGATATCCTTACAGCCAATCTGTAAGGATATCCTTTTGCATCCTTCCCATATTTAGAACTAAAAAAAATTTTATCGTGCCTCCCACCAAACTGTTTATAATTACTCCTCTCCATCCAAAGGTTGCCTGGAAGAGATCGCTCTTAGCGATAAGGTCGCCCATTGTTTTCTCATTGTGATTATTTCTTGTAATTATTTATATTTATAATAAGTTTACTATTGTAATCTTTTGGAGGAAACAATAAAGAGTATCTATCTATCTATCTATCTATCCTTTTCTATAGAAAATATATCAAAATTGGTTCAGTATTTTTGATTTAAAATTTACAAACTTTATCATAATTGAAGTCGGTTTTTTGTGGAATATTTTAATTATTGTTTGCTCGTTATGCAATAACTTTGTCAATATAAACTGATGTCGTATGACGTTTATTTTCATCAGTAGCGTCTTCAATTTTTTATATAAATTTTTGTTACAATTAAAGTAGTTTTTTTTTGCAAAAACAAATAAAAAATGGATGATAATGGAATGGTAACCCCGCCTGCGCTAACGGTATACGCTGTCAAGGCACTAGTGAGAGATGATAGTTGAGAATGAAAAGGCAGGACATCTATCGTGATGTATACAGCTGGGAGTCAGCACGACGGTTTTTAAGTGGACCACGTGGAGGTCGATCTGACAGGGTATATTGCTAGCAATGGAACAGGTAGTCTGTATTACGAAAAATCCCTTCCCCCCCCCCCCCCCCCCCCGTGAAACAAATGTTGTGGAATAGTGTAAAAGTTATTGATGGGTTTTCAGAATAATGCCGGACGTATCGGTCTATTATTTCCCCATAAAGGGCTTAGGTGAGAGCATTCGCTTGTTGCTAGCTTATGGTGGCCAAGAGTTCGAGGACGTTAGGATCCCCAAGGAGATTTGGCCGCAGAGACGATCAAGTAAGTGTCGTTTAAAAAAAGTTTTCCTGTTCTAACTTTGTAGTGATCCACTTTTTTGTATTGGATATAGGATGGATATTTGGACATAGGATGGAATTGTACATCCGTTTCTGTCAACGATTTTTCTTTTAATTAATGACTATGCATGTCCACCAGCGCCTTCGGTATATGCTAGCGCTGCATTAATGATAGATGAAGATAAAAGCAGTACAGTTGACCCATTGTGACGAATTTACTAGGAATTATGATCTGTTACTATGAAATTTATTCCCCCTTCGGGCCATTCATCATACCAACTGTTAATAGTCCAGTGCTGAACATAGACCGTCATAAGGAACGGTTTTTTTATACAACTTAGAATGGCAAACAAGCTGACGGCCTACTTGATGAAAAGTGGTAACCGTCGCCTATAGACATGAGACCATGGACATAACAGAGTATACTGTTTCACCCATGATACCCCCCATGCGTCGCCATTCCTGAGGACTCGGGTGCTATTCCTCTGTACCTAGTAACGGTCCCGAGCCACATCTTTCTGGTGTTTGCCATTGGAGCGATTCGTACCAACTACGATGAACTATTTTATCCTTCAGGCTTTGATTAATTTTAAAGTGTGTTTCTATGTTTCATCATCATATCTGTCGTTAATTGTCACTGTTAAATCTTTTTTGAATTGCCACTTTGCCTGTAGTTGCCACTTTGACAGGCAGGTTGTCAACCGTAGTTAGGCTTTGCTGATGTTTTAGAAGGGACGCTGTTGCCAATCTCTTGACTGTTAAATTTTCTTAGTCGTCTCTTACGACACCATCGAGAAAGGAAGGATAAAGAGTCCCGGCATAGAATGGACCAACATTCTATGCCGGGACCACACGGCATAGAATGCTAAATGTTAAAACTTTATTTACAACTATTTACTTTTATTTTTGTAAAGTGCAATAGGTAGGCAGAATTCTTTTCCATTGGAGTTGAGGAGAAAACAGAAAATGTTGTATGCGGAAGGTATTAAGATTATGTAAAAGGGTTATTTAGATTATGTGCAAGTTACAAGTCACCAACAGAATATCAGCGCTACGGGTACTTGTTGAGTTGGTTGCCTTTTCAACGTAGAGGCACATGAAACCTAAAATTTTTTTTGGTTCGCTTATAAATTCATGAATTATGTGCTTTATTGTAGAGGTGAATAAATAACAAATTTTTCTATCTATCTATCTAAAATATTAATTTCAAATTACAGTTGCAGCGTTTGGTCAGGTGCCTGTTCTGGAAATAGATGGAAAGAGGTACGCTCAGAGTGTCGCCATATCGAGGTACCTGGGACGCAAGTATGGATTGACAGGCGCGAACATCGAGGAAGACTTCCTTATTGATCAGAATGTGGACTTTGTCAACGAAATTCGCTTAGGTGCGTATGTTATCATATTAGTGAATGCCCTAAGTTGGTATTACTCATTTGTACTAGTCACTAGCGATCCGACCCGGCTTTGCACGAGTATATATATATATATATATATATATATATATATATATAGAATAATTAATGTATTCGTGTATGTAAGTTCAAGACACTTATAATGCATCGTTTTAGTTTTGTTTTACAAGCGTATCAAGTTGTACATTGCAGTTAAGCATAAGAATAAATATTTAGTTAGCTGCATTTAAAGTAAAAAAAGTAAAAGGTAAATTGATAAAAATAATTGAAGTTATTTTTAAATTATTCCAGCGGCGTCCACTGTTCAAAACGAACCAGATCCCGCTGTAAAGGCAGTTAAACGGGCAAAGTTCTTGAGGGACAAGTGTCCATTCTATCTGCAGAAACTCGACGAGATTATTAGGAGCAATAACGGACATTTAGCAGCTGGAAAGGTTGGCAATAATGCAGAGATTGTTATTTTTCAGTAAAATAATATTTAAACCCTTCGAGATATCTCGAGGGATGCCCATTTATTGTATATCTAAAAGTTTCATATTTATTATTACTTAGATTCACAACTAGGAATGGTTTTTTAATGGGTGAAGATGAAATAGCAACCCCGCCTGCGCTATCGGTATACGCTGTTACCACCACCAGTGCACCAGTGCACCATGGCACCACTGAGAGACGATAGGTGAGAATGAAAGCATGTCAGTTAGCCCATCGTGACGAATTCATCAATAATTAACCACGATTCTAGAGGGAACCGCGTGGAGGTCGACCTATTAGAGTATTTATATTGCTAGCATTGGGGCTGTTACTTTACTACTAATTCCGTTAGGAATGGGTTTCGAAGTGAGGTTGTTAGCCTAATATTATGACGCTGGTCACTCGACTTGGTCATAGATGTTTATAGGGGAAGTCGAGTGGGTTGTACCCACCCTGAAATTATCTGATGTCCACCCTGGGTTCAGAAGCAGAGCTTTCAATTACGTGTAAAGATATGTCTAAAAGAATGAGTAAATAACTGAAAAATCTCGATAAACTCGTTTGTAGGCAAATTTCCATCTACATCAAAATTTTAAGTAAATAAATTAATTTATATATTAATTATTTCAGCTTACGTGGGGTGACATTTACTTCGCCGGTCTGTACAGTTACCTCAGGTATGCCCTTGAGATCCCCGACCTCGACCAGAAGTATCCCAGTTTCAAGAAACTCCAAGACTACGTACTGTCCCTGCCACAGCTGAAACAATACCTCGCGAATGCACCTCAAACCGATTTCTAAAACACAAGGCGTTTATTAGTACTTCAATACTATTATTTATACTGTGGTATGAGCGCAGTTATTAGATTAATTAATTTAATTATTATATACAAATACTAGCTGACTCGGCAAACGTTGTTTTACCATATACATTATTTCGAGAACTATACATGAAAATTTATCGTACTACAGTTATTATATTCGATCGCCATCTTGCAACCCTATTGCGGAATATAAAAATCGCGATTAAAAAATAGGAGTTGATTGTAAAAGCGTAAAAATTTGAAGTTGTATGTATTTTTCAATGCTAAATTATAGTAAAATAAAAATAAATTTTTTTGTCAAAAATTATAAAAAAAAATATTTAGGGTGACCCACCCCCTTATCATTGAGGGGTATAAAAAATAGATGTTGGCCGATTCTCAGATCTATCCAATATGCACACAAAATTTCATAAAAATTAGTAAAGCCGTTTCGGAGAAGTTTGGTAACAAACACCGCGACACGAGAATTTTATATATAAGAGATGTAAAAAACATTCTATCTATTATATACACACCTTACATCTATGTACTATAAATATCAAAAACAAGACGTTTAAAAAATTACTTGAAGATAAAAAAAATTGAGATCACTACCAACTGGTAAGGTAACTAGGAGACTTGTTCCATTTCCACGCTGAATAGCCATAGAGATGCGTTGATTGATATTGATAGCTCTTCTTATGGGAGAGGTCTATGGTCAGCCATGAACAGTTGATTTGATGATGATTCTAATATTTTTTTTTTATACAACTTAGAATGGCAAACAAGCTGACGGCCCACCTGATGGAAAGTGGTAACTGTCGCCTATAGACGTGAGCAGTACCATGGACATAACAGAGTATACTGTTTCGCTCATGATACCCCCCATGCGTTGCCATTTCTGAGGACTCAGGTGTTATTCCTCTGTACCCAATAAATTCACGCCATATCCCACCCTTCAAACCGAAACACAGCCATGCAAAAAAAAAGGTTTCACGGTTGAAACACGAATGGGACAGAGGTACCTAAGCAATCGACTTTTGTACAAAGTCTCCCTCTGGTAAAATAATGAATATATAATCTGGTAACAGTATGAATGAGTGAATGAGTATACTTTATTTGCATTATACAATATAGGAAATAAGTAAGACAATTTACAAACACAACGATACAATTGTATAAGTACAATAAGACGGTGTTATTGCTGAGAGCAATCTTTTCCAGACAACCTTAAGGTAATGGACTAATTGTTGTACAAGATAGTACTGTATAATTAAAAAAGTACCTTTATCAAATTAAAAAAAAAAAAAAACAGTAGTACGAAGTGTTAAATTGATGGGTTTAAATTTTTCGTTATCTATGTATTATTAATGATTTTTTTATGTTTGAAATAATATTATTTGTTTCTTGTGAAATTGTTGTTTCAATAATAATGGTAAGTAATTAATTATCTCAGGTAAAAAAAAATACTTCAATTTGTATAATTTGAATTTGTATTAAGCAATCGTAGAGATTGTTGTCTCCTTCTCGAACTGGCGGGGCTTGGTCTTCATGCTGGCTTCCACCTGTTCCACTGTGTCGAACAACGGCAGTTCCTTGGTCTCCGGCGTGAGGGTTAGGAGTGAGGCCGTCACCGCAGCAGATACTCCGAACAGTATCGCGGGCAATGACCCTGATATCATGTACTGGAATTTAATAAGACATATGTTATTTCAAAAATTTATGTTTATTTTTAACCATTTACATATATATCGTTATAGTTGTAGAATACTGACGGATCTGACAAAGATTACATATAAAGATCCGTCAGTATTCTACGACTATGACGATATAGCTAAAGAAAGGAAATTTAATAGACGTATTTTGACCACGTTTCGGATCGCTGAAGATGACCTCTGGGTGAAGTTCATTTAATTGTCGCAAACAAACATAGTAAGTTCATAAGAGATACTCGTATATGTTATAAGAAATTGGCGAGATGGATGGCGAGCTTAATGCCATATGGCATTAAGCTCGCCATTTGTACAAAGTTTTATTGTGCAATAAAGAATAAAATAAATTGGTTCTTAAAACTTTATTCACATTAAAATATTGGTCAATGTGGTCTAATTTCTTTCAGAAGTTATGGTCTATAGGCGATGGCTTCCATCAGGGAACTGTCTGTTTGTTTGTCACTCTAACAGATATATTAAACTAGCTAGTTAGTAAATACATTTTTGAATTTTTCTAAACTAAATAAAAACTGTTCCTCAAGTTGGAGCAAACAATACACATTTACAAAATTTCATTAAAATTAGTTCAGCGGTTTCGGAGATTAGCGTGAACGGAAGTCGCGATTCGATATTTTTAAATAATAAATCAAGTAACGTATAGGAAATAAGGGATATCACTTTTATATGCTATTGTGTATTAAAAATGTGAGTAAATAAATGAATATCGCCGTGTGGTCCCAGCATAGAATGGGCCATCCCTTCCTTTCCCGTTAGTGTCGTATGAGGCGACTAAGAAGGAATTTAATGGCCGATCGATGGGCAGCAGCGTCCCTCTTAAAACATCACCCAATCCTAACTGCGGTTGCCAATACGCCTGCCAAGCGTAGCAACTACTGGCAAAATTCCTCGTTATGCGGAAGGCTTATGTTCAGCAGTTACAGTTAAATAATGATGATGATGATGATGAAATAAATATTATCTCATTGACCAAGTCGTATAGAGTTTCCCTTCTCTTGGATAAATTGTATAAAAAAAAACTTGTATATTGATTTGTCACTTATGTCGTCCTAAAGATAAAAGAGTGTGGTAAAGTATTGTATTTTTACTTCATCACCACAAGGATTTACAATTACGAATACAATACTCACTAGAGGAAGACTTTGTACAAAAGTCGATTGCTTGGGTACCTCTGTCCCGTTCGTGTTTCAACCGTGAAGCAGTTGTGTTTGCATAGCTGTGTTTCGGTTTGAAGGGTGGGATATGGCGTGAATTTACTGGGTACAGAGGAATAACACCTGGGTCCTTAGGAATGGCAACGCATGGGGGGTATCATGGGCGAAACAGTATATTCTGTTATGTCCATGGTACTGCTCATGTCTATAGGCGACGGTTACCACTTTCCATCAGATGGGCCATCAGCTTGTTTGCCATTCTAAGTTGTATAAAAAAAAAACAATAACAAAAAATAAAGAACTTACCAGCATAGGCGTTAAAGGGGCGAGCATGCCCCCCAGCCTTGAAGCGAAGGCGCATACTCCGAGTAGGGTGCCTCTAGCATTAGTGGGGAAGAGTTCCATACTGTAGGTTACAGCACCGGTGAAGCACGAAGCTATCACCACTTTACCCAGCAAGAATAAAGTTATTTTCAACCAAATCAGGGCTGCGCAGAAAGTTATTCATATTTATTTATCAAATCACACCACTACTCGTAATTCTTCTTTTTGATGAAGGAGAAAGAATCTTGGTAAAATACAGGCATTTGCAGTATCATTGCTAGCAACATACCTTCTGTGACCGATCAGCCGCTCTTGGAGTTGGCTGTGATTTAAAATTGGTAAATTTATGACAAGAGGTCATTTGACCTGACTTGAAGTATAACTATCATTCTTCACAGCTATCACTTTACCCCACTAGCGTGAACCGATAGCATAGATGCTATTTCCACTGTGTTCTTTTTTTTATGCAACTTAAATTGGCAAACAAGCTGATGGCTCACCTAATGGAAAGTGGTAATCGTCGCCTATAGACATGAGCAGTACTATGGACATAACAGAGTATACTGTTTCGCCTATAATACCCCCTATGCGTTGCCATTCCTGAGGATTCACGTGTAATTCCTCTGTACCCTGTAAATTCACTGCCATATCCCACCTTTCAAACCTTCTTTAAATTTAATCTTCAAATGTACACAACAAAAAAAAATAATCATGATGACCTGGAAATATTGATTAGCTGGAATAAGTCTGCAAGAAGTAATGTTGAATACTAGCACTGAATGCTTCAAGGTGTTTTATTACGTTTTAAGAGACATCAAAATGGAATAAAAATCTAATTCGTTTAAATTTTTTGGGTATGTCACACGATTTTGTTTTTCATAATGTTTATTGCAATCGATATTTTTACTCCCTTGTTGGTCTCATTAATTTTGTGACAATTAATGCTGGCATGTTTTTTACAGAGAAAAAAATATTTCCTATGAAGTAAAATATGATTAGATAAACGATTCCGCGTTCCAAATTCAAATATTTTTAAATGTAATGTGTTGATCGAACGTTATATTAAACTTGAATACTCAACGGTATATAACAAATTAAATGCAATGTTAATAATTATTAAGATTGTTTCCACAAAAAAAAAAGACTTCAATTTCGGCAAAAATTTAAAAACTAAATTTTTAGCCAATTTTGATAAAATTTCTACAGTACCAATCTTTAAGTACATCATAAGTACATACAAAAAGATTTTTTCAAATCGGTTTTCAACTGATGGAGTTATGAAGTAACAAATATAAAACAAATGCGACCGAATTAAGAACCTCCTTTTTTAAAGTCGGTTGAAAATTCAAATAATCGCAAAATACAACTCGTCGAAAAACATTTTCAGCGACTTTTCTTATCACCTAAATGAGGAAATTGGTACTTTCTTTTATGCAAATCAGAATAGCAAACAAGTTGATGACCCAATTAATGAAAAGTAGTAACCGTCGCCTATAGATATGAACTGCACCATGTACAAATAATATGCGGCACCCTTGATACTCCTCGTGCGTTGCATCTTCGTAGAACTCACATGTTTTTTTTTTGACGGGTGGAAATGGAATGGTAACCCCGCCTGCGCTAACGGGATACGCTGGCGGAGCACCAGTAAAGGGTGATAGACGAGAATGAAAACAGGCCAGTTAGCCCATAATGATGAATTCATCAGGAATTAACCATGATAGTTTTCAGGGGGACCCGCGAGGAGGTCGACCTGGTTGGCGACAATCCCTTTCCCCCAATAATGGACATGTTAGTAATGGAGACTGAGAATCCCATTGCTAGCAATATACCCAACCAGGTCGACCTCCTCGCGGTTCCCCCTGGAAACTATCATAGTTAATTCCCGATGAATTCATAATAATGGGCTAACTGGCCTGTTTTTATTCTCATCTATCACCCTTCACTGGTGCTCCGTCAGCGTATCCCGTTAGCGTTATTCCCGTTACCATACCATTTTCACTCATCCAAAAAAAAAAAGTCTATTGCTAGCAATAAACCCTATCAGGTAGACTTACACGCGGTTTTCGTGGAAATCGTCGTTGTTAATTCTTGAATACGTCACGATGGGCTAACTGACCTGTTTTCATCCTCACTTCTAATCTTTCACTTATTTCCCGCCAGCGTATACCAATAGCGCAGGTGCGGTTACTATTCCATTATCACCCATTAAAAAATAACTTCTGAATTTTCAAATTCATGTTTATATCATTCGGTTTATTCAAGATGGATCATTGAATTATCATCCATTTAAACGAAATGCGACAGCGGTATCCAAGCAGAAGACTAAGCTTTAGCACTTACAACGGTATTTGCGAACGAATTTCAAATTTAGAAATATATGAAAAGATCCCATATTTTTCAAAAATCTTGACACTTTTACACTGTTGAAAAATAAAAAATATATACATATATAGAAACCTACTTGCCGGTACATATCCAGATCCTATGCATAGCGTTCCGCAAATGGCAAATCCAACCATCAGTGGCAGTTTCCTTCCAATTTTATTCATTAAGTACAAGGATATTAGTTCGCCTGGAAAAGACATCACTGTGGACAACAGGAAGTTTGTATATTTGTTCCCAGGCAACCAAACCGAGTTTACCATAAGACCGTAATACACAAAACTTGCAGTAAAACGACTAACTGCACCCACCAAAATACGCAACAATATCTGTTTCGATGTGAAAATCTTCTTATAACTTTCTCTCACTTCAGTATTCCCAATGTTCAGTTTAGTTTTTAATTTTACTTCGTCTGATTCTGTTATTATATCCTTGATTTTTAAATTATTTCTCTTCGCAGTGAATCGTATTGTTTCAATTGCCTTATCAGTTTTGTTGTTTAGTAGTTGCCATCGCGGACTCTCTCTAAGTAGGAAAATTAGAGAGAGACAGAGTATCCCAGGTGTGTATATGATCCGCGCCAGAGTTTTCCAATATGGGACAAACATGGCGAGAACGGCGAAAAGTGATTCTCCAATGTAAATTGCATACGAAAATAATACAGAGGACAAAAGCCTGTATTTCTTTCCGCTTATCTCTATCACTGGAAAGAAAAAAAATATTATATACCTTTAATTAGGCATATTAAATTCTAATTATGTTAAAACAAATAATACAAAAAAATAAATAGATAAAATTTTTATGGCAATAGGAATTACATGAGACTTATGACACTTTACAATTTTTTCTTATTTATGTTTGGATCATTTAAAAAACGAATGTAATTTGCTTCGTATTTCTGAATGCATGTAAAGTGGGTTATCCACGTTTGAAGCCTTCGTGTAATAATATAAAGGCAGACTTAAAACTCTTGCAATCAAAGGATGCCACCGTTACATAAGTATTAAGTTAAATTGAATAAATAAATATCAACTTACTGAGTACCATACCGGCGGGGTAAGCGCCTCCCGAAAGAGCCGCTTCAAGCCACTCTATAGCAATGTACAAATAATACGATTTAGCGAACGTCTTTAAATGTCCCACGCATGTTCCCACCACGCAGAATATTATAGCCGGTTTTCGTCCATACCTGGGCAATAATAAAGATTAAAATTTTTATTTATAAAAGTAACAATTAATGCATACGTAGTTCTTAGGTCCAACCGATATCTATTAGAATCGAAGAGGGGAGGGGGGGGATTGTTAGATAGCCACTTTTTTATGCAACCTAATGGAAAGCGGTAACCGTCGCCTATAGACATGGACAGTACCATGAACATAGCAGAGTATACTGTTTCGTCCATGCGTTGCCATTCTGAGAAAAAGGTGTTATGCCTATGTACCCTGTAAATTCACAGCCATATCCCACCATTCAAACTGAAACACAGCCTTAAACACAATTGCTTCACGGTTGAAACATGAATGAGACATAGATATTCAAGAAAACGACTTTTGTACAAAATCTCCCTCTAGTATATTTATTTATTATAACTTTATATTTATGGTATATTTATTTACTTATAAATAGTCATAATAATGATCTAACACACACCCAATTTTAATGAAATCATTTAAAACCTTAAGTTGATGATTATACCGAAATATAATAGGTACTTATTACTTATTATTTACTTATATAGTAAATACATGTCCGCGTGGTCCCGGCATAAAATAGACCACCCCTTCCTTTCCCGTGGGTGCCGTAAAAAACGATCAAGCGAGAGCGTGGGATGGGCAGCAGCGTCCCTCTTAAAACATCTCTAAAGCCTAACTGCGGTTGCCAGTCCGCCTGCCAAACGTGGCAACTACTGGCAAAACTTCCCTTATGTTCAGCAGTGGTCGATTAGCGTGGGATATGGTAATAATGCTGAATTACCTATCAGCCATCCATCCAGCTGTTATCATTGAGACCAACATGCCAATGCTGTGTATTGTTCCCACCAGATTGACTTTCAGTGATTCACACGCCAGATCCAACTGAAAGAGAAGTTAAAATAAACATATTATAAAAAAAAAAAAAAAAAAAAACTTATATTACGAAAATAAGATTGACTGGAAGAAATCTCTTTTAAGGGATTAATCCTCCATTGTACTCGTTCTTTTCTTAAGAACTTTGTATCCTATAATTTAAGAGTTTATTGTATAATAAAGTTTTATTTTATTATTATTATTTCAGCCATTAACTGTCAATTGGGGGATATAAGCTTTTCCCATAAAAGGAGTTTTGCCAGGAGTCGCCACGCTTGACAGGCGAGTTGGCAACCGCAGTTAGGCTTTTAGAGATGTTTTAAGAGGGACGCTGCTGTACATACCTCGCCTTCCCTTACTCGCCTCTTACGACACCTACGGGAAAGGAAGGGGTGGCCTATTCAATGCCGGGGCACACACAGCGATATAAGAAAGTGTTACAAATAAATAACTAAGTCCTTCCATTTTGAGAGAGGTATCCACTCATTTGAGAAGTTAATTAGTTAATACGTCATGCGAGAAGCTGAAGACCGTGCAAAATGGAATAACATCATAAGAGAGGCCACAGACACCTTTCAAGGACACGACCTTTAGTAATGAAGAGGACGAAGAGAGAGAGAAAGACGTTATGAGCGGGCGTTGAAATTTCTCCGGCCTCTTGAACTTCTAATCTCTCTACTTTGTCAATTGATTTAGGTCTGATTTTGTCATTATAACCAAACAATGTTTTATATCTATCTACAATTAGTGATTATTTCTATTGTGTTCTATTCCGCCAAAATACCTACAGAAGGAGAAAGGATAGAGAGAATGGTAAGTTTTAAGGAAAAAAGAAGAAAAACTAACGTTTTGTTATTTATTAAAGAAAAATAATTGAACTGTGAATCAAATTAGAAATAATAGGTAACCTATCTGTCAGTAGATGGCGTAATTATCTATTTAAATAGTGCTAAAATTAAATCACTATGATAGGAATATATGTTTATTACTATTGGTCAACAGATGGCGTCAGGCAACAATCATTTTATCCTGTACTTGATATATGTAATTTCTTAAAATTTTGGATTGGTACCAGGTATTTTAAGAACATATATTTATATTTATTCGAAATTATTAGTGGCCAGTACTTTTTATTTTTTTTAGAATAGACAAAAAGTGACAATGAATGAAAGAATTAAATTATTTTGTTGATTTTCGATAAGTAGGTAAACCGAAGTTTATATTTTATATGCGTCAACGAAATGAAACAAAAACATTGTGGCAAGTACATATCTGATATGTAAATAACTCATAATTTAGTTAACTTTTAAAGTAGATAATTTTCTTATAATTTCGTGTTTTTTAAGCAACTTATTATCAGTAAGACATATACGTAGACAGTTACCAAATTAACAGAACTTATAAATGTTCATGAGGCAGAAGTGAATGAACTCAATAAAAAAAAAATACTTATTTCAAATTTTGTAATACCTATGTATTTTAATAAGGGCATTGTTTTAGTACCTGTGTATGGCAACGGCGATATTTAAACATCAGTGGATTTATTTAGAAAATATCAAAAAAAAAAATAGGAAGACGTTAGAGCGTTATTTAAGGTTGCCAAAGTTTTATTCTTAAGATTGTTTACGATATCAGTGAGTGATGATAGGCGAATTCACTATGAAGATTCCTGAGACTGCAAGAAGGTCGTATTTTAATGGCCATTCCGTTTGTATTATCAGTATTCGTTGGCGGGATTGGACTTCGACTATTTTATAACACGGAGCAAACAAGCATCCGGTTCACTTGATGGCAAGTGACCAGTGACCACCGTCGCCGATGAGCACCCGCTACACCAGAGCCATTGCAGGTGTGCTGCAGGTCTTTTAAAAAGGACTATTATCTTTTCTTGAAGGTTACGATGTCGTATCGGTTCGGGAATACTGTTGCTGGAAACTGCGGGTCTACCATGAAATAAAATTCCGAAATTTCGGACTCAATTTCGTGTTTTTGTTTATACCAAAATCGGACTAATAAATGGAGTTTAACATTTCTTTCATTCCTATCATAAAAGTCCAAAGGAACAATATTTTAACTTTTTTAATATTTTCAAACGACATGTATTATGTAATTTTAACATTAAATTTCTGTATCGTTTGGCTCTGAAATTTCGAAAACATTTCATGGTAGGTCCTCTGATTCTAAAGCGTGGTTTAGCGTGGAAGAAAGTGGCCTGAAAAACGCACAATGTAGGATCACCACTTATATTGATGGTTGGGGTGGAGTATTAGTTTGTGGCGGGCTATACGATGGTGAAAATCAGCAGCAGGTATCAATCTGAACAATTCCTCAGAACACTCGATGATGATATATTTGATAAGAAATGCGTAGAAACTTTTTGTTTATAACACAGGGAGAAAACGATTATGCGGCTCACCTGATGTTAAAGTGTTAAAGTGAAGTGACTATCGCCGCCCATAAGCACCCACAACAGCAAGCCATTGTAGGTGTGCTGCTAGTCTTTTAAAAAGGAATATGCTCTTTTCTTGAAGGTTATGATGTACTAAGGTTATGTTACTTGACAGCAATTGGGATCACTAGTATCCATTGCTAAAAATTTCTTTCTCCAAGTTGGTAGGGTTTATTTGATTTTACTAAGTCTTTCATATTATCGTAGCGACATCTACAACATTATTCTATAGTTCAAGTTCATTGTTCTTTAAATAGAAATATACTTCCTTGAAGATTTATCTCGATACACGTCAATTTACACACGCGTTGGGTTTTCTCGACTCCTATTTAATTAGGATTTGTATTGTTAATTACACATGTGTAATTGTTGTGTCATTTTAGTGAGGAAGTGATACATTATCTATGTAGCAAATATTTATAATTACAATAATCCTACATAGAAATTACCCTATCGTATGTTGTTAATTTCTTAATCAACAGTTTAGAATAATGATGAACATATGTACTTATTGATGTTACAACTACAGCAATAATGTAGTATGAAACTGTTTAGCATTGTATGATAAATATTTTTCAATTTTTAGTTCACATTTTATTTATTTATTTTAACTTTCAATTTGCAATATTTACGCTAGTTCCTTGAATGAACCTAGCGTAAAAGTGACTTACGGTAATTACGCTAATAGCAATAATCAATTGCGTAATTAGTATTATTCTTAATTTGTAATCAGTTTGTCATAATAAATCAATAATTTTCATTTTATAAAAAAAAATATGTCTGTTTAATTTTAAATACTGAACATAGATTGTAGTGAAAATATTTACTTTCTTTTCAAATAAAGTGTCTTGGTTCTAAAGATTAACATGTGTTTTTCTTTTTATAAGATTTATAACTTACATCTGCTACTATAGTGTTATTGTTTTCGTATACCCACGCCGTGCATGGCTCTACTAAACTGGAGAAACTGTCGGCTGTGCACGTCTGAGCCTGCGAAAAGTTTTTGTTCAAAATAGGCTTCGAGCATCTGTCTATGGACAGGCCCGACTCCCACGGTGGAGTTTCAAATGTAGTAATTGTGCTTTCACATTCTGGTATTCGACATCTGAAAAAAGTAATTAATAATCAATCGACTTACAGTAATAAATTTGAGTAAGATAGTTTCCGCTCAAGAAGATTTATACTATAAGATTAGCTATGTCTGTATTATTTTTTAAATATTAATAATAAATAATCACTGAATGACAAAATCATTAAATTTAAATTACTGATAAAGGTGATATCTAATTTTAATATTACGTAAACTAAATAATAAATGGGCAAAAAAAACTGGCATAACGTAACAATATATTTGTAAGAAATAGGTAATTTGGAAAAATTAAACAATAATTGGAAACTTTGAATGATTGAGTGCTACAAGGAACAGCGTGGCGCGCTCACATTTTTGTATTTTGCGAACTAAATTCTCTAATTACTATCTCTTTGATTTTCTTTAACAAAATATTTACTAAATCAGTAATATATTTGGAGGATTGTTTATGAGCAAATCTATTATTATTTATGTATTCTTAATTAATTCCGTATGTACAAGTTAAATAATAGTTTACTCCTTACCTGTAGTTAAGATCGCCAGCAAGAAATATATAATTAATGTTTGCAATCGTAACAAATATTGTACCGAAGCATATGCAAACGTATTGCATTATCTGATATTTTCCAAACTTTCCCATAACCTCCCATATTTCATAAATATCAGAAGACTTATTATCTCTCATTTTCATTCAATTGTACACACAACACTAGCAACTGAGTTATCCAGTAAGATATAGGTATTTATTGGAATCGATTAATAATAAAATTATTTTAAATTATTCATCTAATTTGTAATGCACTAAGTATGAAAAGAAAGGTAAACAAATTTTTACTTTTGTTTGTAATTCGTTACTGTTTTTTTGTGTGTCACAAATATTACAAGGAATATAACACGTGTGTACGATTCGAGAATATTCACATGTAATACTTAATTAAATGGCAACTCTTCATATGATAAAATATCAGCGCGAAAGTATCTTGTTACGAAAGCTGTTATTACAATATAGAAGGAGTAACACTTACTCAGCACTAAATGAACTATGTAATATAACGTATTTGTATAGCTTTGTAAATAAGCGCTTACATTTTAGGTAAGACTAAATATGATAATCAGGTAGAATAGTATATTTACTCAAAAATATATAGATAATGAAGACGTTTCATTATTTATGTCAATTTTGCATATTTGTGTTAAATTGTTAATTTTTTTCTGAAGTTCTTCGTGTCCTTGGACAATAGTTAAATTTCGCAAAACTGTATACAAAATTAATTTGAAGTACATAAGGTGACTGCTTAATTAAAAAATTGCATTGTTTCATTTTCATTGAAAGATGTGTAGGGTCGGACTGGGCTCGACGGGTCCGGGTGGCTGACTACAAGCCCGGTGTCCAAAACTAGATGATGGTAGTTGTACCAGTTGGTAACAGCAAAGCAAGCTCCGTGAGCCAGGCCCGTGGGGGGTCCACGCAGGATGAGGCCCGGCTGACAAATGCCATCTCGATTGTATGGCCAGTCCGACGCTGAAAAAGTGTTTTGTATCTCTCTCTCTCTCTCCTTTTTCTTCAATCTTTTCCTTTACTATAAGTGGTGGATAGGATCAACAAACGGCCAAAGAGTTGCCTTTAGCCAGACGGTAGGTCGTAAAATTAAAAGCCAAGTCTTTGTGTAGTATGAATATATTCACTTTACGCCAATCTCACATAATTAGGATAAAGGTATGTAGATGATGAACTCAAGTTACTGAGCACCATACTGGCTTGGTAAGCGCCTCCCGTAAGATCCTCTTCAAACCACTACAGCAACGTACAAATAATACACATACACCCACGCATACATTTAACCCTCTTTACAATTGGTGACCATGAATTTGTATTATTTAATCATTGCTGTCAATATCTGAACTTTAACAACATGAATTTTAATTATTTTATATATCAATTAACTTAACTTTGTGGACACTCATTATTATATATGGTTCCTTTCATACATGTGCTTATACTACTTGCATACACCCACTCTAACTTGCTTACCTCGCTATGGAATCAAAATTTTTGTTTGCATAAGTAAAATCCGTTATTGGCTGTATTTATAAGAGACTTAGCATGTAAGTTATTTTTTAAGAGTTATTTTTGTATAAAATAAAATAAAAATAAAAAATAAAATACGACTTGGCAAATCCTTTCTGTCGCACGCATGTTCCCACCACGCAGAATACTACAGCTGGTTTACGTATTTCTCAGACACGATATTTAATGATAGTATAGATAAACAGAGACCAGAGATCAATCTGTTGCTAAAATTAATACAAGGTTGCCAATTAATATTATTTAATTTATTGTATGTTTACTAATGACCGATAAGGCAGTGCCGATGACTTTTTTGCATGTGATAAGTAGCTTCAATTCTTAGTCAATTTAGAATTTGAATATTTTTAGTTGAATTGTGTGTTTCTATTATCTTGCATCTATTACAACTCACATAGGTTACACTATAAAGACATGAAACAAACGGTAGCTTTGGCGATAGAAGCAGAAAAAAAAAGCTTACTTTGAAAATAATGTAAACTTATGTCTAAGAACACCGAAAACGTTATGGAATAATTTGAGAAATTCTGTATTGATGAAAACAAGATCAACAGAACTGTCAGACTTCTGTGATAATCCTGATGCGTTAAATGCACATTTTATAAATATTCCAGGTAATAATCAGGTTTCAATATCGGCTTTAACATACTATGAATTCAATAAAACCATTACAAATGCATTTACTTTAACAACTGTAGATGAACACCAAGTAGCTAGTATTTTAAATTCATTAAATTCCCAAGCGGAAGGAATAGATCAAATTAGTTTAAAAATGATAAATTCAACTCTGCCGTATACATTGGATATTATTACAATCATAATAAACAAATCTATTTTAACTTCAACTTTTCCAGAAGTTTGGAAAACAGCAATTATAAAACCTATTCCTAAAATACAGATTCCTCTTAGTATTGGGGACCTTCGCCCTATAAATTTACTACCCTGTCTATCTAAAATTTTAGAAAGAGTAGTACATAAACAGCTATATCGGTATATAGAGGCTAATAGATTATTACCCCCCAGACAATCAGGATTTCGCCCTGGATTTAGTACATCTACAGCTCTATTAGACGTTACTGACAGCATTCTCGCAGCTCAAGATCAGGGAAAGGGTACGATCTTGGTTTTACTTGATTATACACGAGCATTTGATTCCATAAATTTAAATCTACTTATTACAAAATTGTCGTTCCTTGGATTAGATTCTAAAACAATAGAATGGTTTCGAAGTTTTCTTACTCTTAGATCTCAAATTGTAGAAACTCAAAGAATGGATGGTACAAAATGTTACTCAGAATCTAAATATGTAACTAGAGGAGTACCCCAGGGGTCAATATTGGGTCCACTTTTATTTACTTTGTATTGTTTTGATATTATTAATTGTATTAAAGGCTGTGAGTACCAAATGTACGCGGACGACTTCCAGATTTATATTCATTTTGACCCCTGTAACATAGCATGTGCCATAAAAAAACTAAATTAAAATTTGGATCGTATCTCCAGTTGGTCCGATAAAAATTGTTTGATGCTTAATCCTAATAAATGTAAGTTTGTGGTTGTTGGGACAAAAAAGTTGATAGCTGATATAGAAAGACATAAACCATGTATTAAAATCAATAATAAACCTATTGATCAATTAAAAGAAGCACGTAATTTAGGATTTGTCATTGATCCTCATCTTCGTTTTGAAACATATATTATGCAAACGGTGAAAGTCTGTTTCTATCGTCTTAAGTTGCTATATCGATTTCGGAAATATCTAACTGTGTCTACTAGGGAAAAGTTGTGTGAGGCTCTTGTCTTATCCAAATTAAACTATGGTGATGTAGTGTATGGCCCCTGCTTGTTGTCTAGAACTGAACGACTGATCCAGAGAGTGCAAAATGCATGTGCCCGGTTTTGCTATCACATTCCTCCGCGCCATCACGTTACTCCTTTCTTAAACAATGCCGGTATCATGAAAATGTTTTCACGTAGGAAGTTGCATCTTGCATGTTTAGTGTTTAATATAATAAATACAGGTAAACCTCAATACCTTTACGATAAATTATCGTGGGCGCAAGAGCATAGTATATATAATTTAAGAGTAGCTTCTATACGTTTAAAGGTACCACGACATAGAACTGCAAGTTTTCAGAGAGGGTTCAAATATGCAGCTTCCAAGATCTGGAATGACCTCCCGCCTCCCATACGAAATTTAAAAACAACTTATACTTTTAAAAATTATGCTAAAAACTATTATTTAAATCTACAAAAAGCATGTAACTCCTTGTGATTGCATAACATTGCTGCTTCGTTGTATAATGTAGTGTTGTTGTATTGTTATTGTATTATTGTTGTACATATCTATATGGGTATATCTTGTCAGTTAAGTGTATGTATGTATGTATATGTAGGTATGTATATGTGTATATGTAGGTGTATGTGTGTATATATGTGTATGTATATATATATGTGTATATATATATATGTGTATATGTATATATATGTATGTGTGTGTATGTGTATATATATGTATGCGTATGTTTGCTGTCGTCGTTCGTAATGTCACGTATGGGCACCACAGAATATCAGCGCTGTAGCAATTAAATTGCTGCAGCACATGCTGAGTGGTGACCATGTTGGCAATAATAAATGTAAAGTTTTTTTTTTTTTTTTAATTCATAATGTATGTAACTTTTTGTTGTTGTCAATAAATGTTTTCTTTCTTTCTTTTCTTTCTATTATATTTTTGTCTTTGCAATGGTTACATGTCTTTACAGTTATTATGAGGAGCATTTATTATTTTTACTTCAAATTACGGGTTTTTTTTTTATGGGTGAAAATGCTATGGTAACTCCGCCTGCGCTAACGGGATACGCTGGCGGAGCACCAGTGAAGGGTGATAGATGAGAATGAAAACAGGCCAGTTAGCCCATCATGATGTATTCATCAGGAATTTACCATGATAGTTTCCAGGGAGAACCGCGCGGCTGTCAACCTGGTTGGGTACATTGCTAGCAATGGGAATCTCAGTCTCCATTACTAACAATCCCATTCCCCCCTCAAATTACGGGTTATGTATATGTAGGTCGAAAATAAGATATCGCTTCATTTTTATTTCCAAAATTCTTTATTTCTGTACATCACTAATGTTTTGCAAACAGAAAAGATTACAAAAACCATCACAGGATCCATATGGATGTTTAAAATTACATTATTTAAGACAATAACAGTAATGGAGGCAGGGAGTTCACCTCCATATCTTAGAGCCTAGATAGTCGCGTACAGCGCGATTTCAGAGATGCTTTCTCCCACGAATGCTAATGTTAAGGAATGAGATCCCTGTCGAGGTTTTTTTTTTCAAAAGATAGCATAGGGTTATTCAGAAAAGGGGTAAAGATGTTTCTTCAGGGTGGGCAACGCGCCCGTAACGTCTCTGGTATTGCAGCCGTTCATAGGTTATAGCAACCGCTTATCATCAAGTGGGTCGTACGCTTGTTTGCCACCTCAGTGGTATAGTGGTATTACACAAGAACATTACAGTATAAGTAATAGAAATATTATCAGACTAGGATAATAAAAAAAAAACTGGTATTTTTTTATTTTCACTGAAGTAATTACTGAATGGAAAAAAATACGTAAATAATTATATTGATAAATTATCTATAAGGCAATCCTTATTCTTACTCTTCAATATTTTTTTTAGCTAAATATAATACTCTAATAGCTCCCTTACGATAATCTTTAAGCAATCGCAGAGATCGTTGTCTCCTTCTCAATCTGTCGGGGCTTGGTCTTCATGCTGGCTTCCACCTGTTCCACTGTGTCGAACAACGGCAGTTCCTTGGTCTCCGGCGTGAGGGTTATAAGTGAGGCTGTCACCACAGCAGATATTCCGAACAGTATCGCGGGCAAAGACCCTGATATGGTATACTGAAACCAAATTACACGTTTAAATTAGCGGGTCTTTTTTTTTAATGGGTGACCATTAAAAAAAAGACCATTCCATTAATGGTAACCCCACTTGCGCTAACGGGATACGCTGGCAGGGCACTAGTGACAGATGATAAGTGACGTTGAAAGCAGGTTAGTTAGCCCATCGTGACGAATTACACTAGAATTAACCACGATGGTTACCAGGGTAAACCATTTGGAGGTCGACCTGATAGAGGGTGTATTGCTTGCAATGGGCCTGTTAATTCTCATTACTAATAATCACTTTCCCCCTAATTTAGCGGGTCACGTTATAGCAGCTTAACTATGGAACAATGATTCGATGACTAAGAAGCTTAAAGAATAACCTACCAGCATGGGTGTTAAGGGAGCAAGCATGTTTCCCAGAATAGATGCGAAGGCGCAGACTCCGAGCAGGGCTCCTCTAGCGTTGGTGGGGAAGAGCTCCATGCTATAGGTAACTGATCCAGTATAGCACGAAGCTATCATCACTTTGCCCAATAAGAAAAGAGTTATCTTCAACCAAACTATAGCTGTGGAAAACATTAAAAATGTAGTTTAACACTTTGTTGACCGGTGAAGAGTTAACACGTCTTTTCATATCCAATCATTGCTGGCCAGTGACGACGTAAACTCGTCATTGCACTAGTGTGTAGGTACGTCCTCCTACCACGACGGACAATACTGTTTTGATTACAAAGCTTTCATGACCAAAAAATACTTTTCTTCATATTTAGGTGTTTATCACTAGTTTAATTCTAAAGACTTCAACCATGACGGAATTCTCGGTCAGCAAAGTGTTAAAAATAACTGGAATAAATTGATCATTTAGCTAAATTATGATAATTGACTGTTTGATATCAAAAGGTCATGAGTACACGACCACGACTGGTATCTCAAGGTCATATCATCATCATCATATTAGCCGTCAACTGCCCACTGCTCCACTGCTGAACACAGTCCTCCCCCTTGAGGTGGTTTGCCTGTAGGTGCTACGCTTGGCAGCCGGGTTGGCAACTCCAGTTAGGCTTTGGTAATATTTTAAGATGGATGTTGCTGCTCATCCCTCAACCAAATTCACGTCACCTTTTACGACACTCACGGAATAGGAAGGAGTGGCTCATTGTATTCCGGGACCACACGGCTTTTAAAGCACTGTTTGCCACTTTTTGTTTATATTTCTTTTGAAAAAAATTGCTAAAGTCCAAGGTAGTTTGAACCTGATGAACATATATATTATAGAAAAAAAGATTTAGGTATATTATAAACTTACTTGCAGGCACATATCCAGACCCTATACATAGCATGCCACAAATGGTAAATCCAACTATAAGTGGCAGTTTTCTTCCAATTTTATTCATTAAATACAAAGATATAAGTTCGCCTGGAAAGGACATCACCGTGGACAACAAAAAGTTCGTATATTTGTTCCCAGGCAACCACACCGAGTTTACCATAAGACCGTAATACACAAAACTTGCAGTAAAACGACTAACTACACCCACCAGAAGTCTTATTAATATATGTTTTGATGAAAAAATCTTTTTATAACTTTCTGTTGCAACACTCTTTCCAATATTTAATTTAGTTTTCAATTTTTCTCCATCCAATTCCGTTATTACATCGTTGATTTTCATATTATTCACCTTCGCAGTGAATCGTAATGTTTCAATTGCCTTATCAGTTTTACCGTTCAGTAACTGCCATCGTGGACTCTCTGTAATAAGCCAAATTAGAGAGAGACAGAGTATCCCAGGTGTGTATATGATCCGCGCCAGAGTTTTCCAATATGGGACAAACATGGCGAGAACGGCGAAAAGCGACTCTCCAAGATAAATTGCATACGCAAATAATACTGAAGAGAGAAGTCTATGTTTCTTTCCGCTAATTTCTAACACTGAAAGAAAAAAGGATGTTACATTGTATATAAATATATTTATATATAGTATATATCACATATAGTATCATTCAAAGAGTTAATAATCTAATTCACTAAGCCAAGAATGTTCTCCTCTAGTGATCTGTCCTAGAGTAAGGGCATACGGGTATGCAACCCTGGTCTCTCGAGCCACTGGAGTTTCTAACCAGTGTCCCTTCCGAAACCGCAGTATCCTTCTTACATTTTTTCGCATTAAACCTTCATTCCATCTTTATCAACTGCTTTTACTCATTTCCTTGTGTTATCTCAATCTTTTCTTTCATAGCGTAAGTGGCAGATACCATCAATAAATGCATCCCCAAGGAAGGTTGACGTCAGTCAGGTGGCCGATCGAAGAATCAAAAGCCAAATCCTTGTATAGTATGAGTATAATCATATTACGCAGACCTCAAATAGGATAAAGGTTGTAGATGATGAATTTAACTTACTGAGCACCATACCGGCGGGGTAAGCGCCTCCCGAAAGAGCCGCTTCAAGCCAGTCTATAGCAACGTACAAATAATACGATTTGGCGAACGTCTTCACATGTCCCACGCATGTTCCCACCACGCAAAAAACTAAAGCTGGTTTACGTCCATATCTGGGATGTGACATAGAATTTATAATAAAAAATATAATAAAAAAACGATTTATGCATAGTTTTTAAGGTAATCATATCTATTCACTATTAGATGCTGATCATTGATTCAGTTATTTACTCCAATCCAATAGATCCAAATAAAATATCAGCCGTTAATTATTGCCCGCTGCTGAAGATAGGTTTCCTCCGTTAGGGGTTTTGTTAATAGTTGCCACACTTGGCAGGTGGGTTGACAACCGCAATTAGGCTTTTGGTGATGTTTTAAGAGGAATATTGTTGGCCGTCCTTCGACCATTAAGTTCCCTTATTCGTCTCTTACAATATCCACGGGAAAGGAAGGGGTGGTCTATTCTATGCAGGAGTATTAATGTTTGCGATATACCTCCACGTGGTCCCCCTTGGAAACCATCGAGTTAAATTCTAGGTGCTCATTACGATGGGCTAACTGGCCTGACTTCATTCCCACCTATCATCCCTCATTGGTGCTCCGCCAGCGTATACCGTTAGCTCAAGCGGGGTTACCATTCCATTATTATCCATTAAAGAAAACCCATTTACTATCAGACGGGCCGTATGCTTGCTTGTTTGCCACGACAGTAGTATAAAAAAATAATGAATACCTATCAGCCAGCCATCCAGCTGTAAGCATTGAGACCAGCATGCCGATACTGTGTATCGTGCCCACAAGACTGACTTTCAGTGGTTGGCATGCCAGGTCTAACTGAAATAAAAATGAAAATAAATATCAATATTGATCTATTACCACTTAAAGAGGTCAAATATAGGACAGTGAATGATCAATGACAATTCATTGCCCGAGACAGACATGAAAGATATGGTAACTCGACGATTTTTCTTGTGTCAACTCAGATCGTTTGTGAAAAACCTAGTTAAATCCCATTACCGATCCTTATATCCTACTTAGTTCTCCTTATTTCCTACCAGTTTTATGTGTGATTGTGCTGTCACAGATATTTATAATTTTATATTATTTTTTACAGATCTATTTTTTTAACGCGCCATCTACCTATTTATTCTTTAATTCTTTCCACCCAAAGGTTGTCTGAAAGAGATTGCTTAGCAATAAGACCGCTTTTTGTATTACACTCTACTTATCGAAATTTTTTCAACAAATCCTGTAATATTGGTGTAATAAAGTGTTAAATAAATAACTTGGAGCGCTCCACTGCGCTGACTCATTGATGTAACTCAACATACGCCGCGGCGCAATGAGTAGCGTGTATCACTATTTGTTGTTTTGTGTTTTTTATAAAGACAAGTAGGTACATACTTAAACTTAAATTGTAACTTACATCTGCTACTATAGTATTATTGCTTTCGTATACCCACGCCATGCATGGCTCTACTAAACTAGAGAAACTGTCGGCTGTGCACGTCTGAGCCTGCGAAAAGTTTTTATTCAAAATAGGCTTCGAGCATCTGTCTATGGACAGGCCCGACTCCCACGGTGGGCTTTCAAATGTAGCATTTATGCTTTCACATTCTGGTATTCGACATCTGAAAATAGAAAATTCTATTTATCTATATTTTTTTTATGCAACTTGGAATGGCAAACAAGGTGACGTCTCCACCTGATGAAAAGTAACCGTCGTCTTTAGACATGAGCAGTACCATGAACATAAAAGAGTACACTGTTTCGCCCATGATACCCCCCATGCGTTGACATTCCTGAGGACTCAGGTGTTATACCTCTTTACTACTGGCAAAACTTTCCTTATGGGGAAAGCTTATGTCCAGCAGTGGACAGTTAACGGCTGAAATGTTGATAGGTAATTAACATACACACGTCATCGGATCTAAAACAATTGTACTAAATATTACTGTCGCCACAGACTAAAATAGATTCCAATAGGTAATCTAATATGTATTTAATAGCATAGATAATTAATATGTCATTTGTATATATAAGACAGTTATAAATAAACTTAGCAAGGCTTGGCTTATCTCTGAAAGAGATCTCTTCCAGCTCACCCAATATAGTGAGAAAGCATGTAGTCAGCGGATAGCGAAATTGCACGAGTATGTCGTAAGCGTCGACTAAGGGAGGGCGAGGGATGGGTAGCAGCTTTCTCTTAAAACATCTCCAAAACCTAACTGCGGTTGCCAATCTGCCTGCCAAGCGTGACAGTAGTCGTCAAAACCCCCCAAGGGGGAGGCTGAGGTTCAGGAATGGACAATTAAATGGCTGATATGATGATAATAGATCATAAATATAATACCTACTTATTTTATATAATAAATGTTATAGTACATTATTGCAGCGGCCAGCAACTGAAGCATTGATGGACGAACGTGCAAATGTGGGCCGAAGTGTAGCCGAGGCACACATACGTGAGTCCATCGATGCCTAGTTGTGGTCAAGGCTTGTATAGTACTTTTCTCAAACAATGCGCGGAAATCAAAACACAATTTTACTTTTTAAGTTCAATGACGAATAACGAACAATAATATTTTTTCCCGCGCCATAATGTTCCTTTGTTTTTTTTTTCAATAAACAGCTTTCTATTTGCAAGCCAGTTCGAAATTTAAATAAAACTTTTTTTAATTAGCTCCTTGGTAGCGATGTTTCGAAGTAAAAGGTAATTTCATTTTTAAATTACAGGACAGATATGAATTTACATAGTAATTTATCTGGCCGCAAAACACGACAGATATGGATTTTATTTGTATCCTAGAAATGGGAAAAGACAACGAGGAGGACAAATCAAAAGATGGGAGGACGATTTACCTAAAGGATGGAGAAAGTCAGCTAGGGATAGGGGAAAGTGGAAACAGTTGGGGGAGGCCTATGCCGACAGACAACCTGACCAACATAATGGTTGCTAGAAAGCTACCTTAGTAATAAGTAGTATATAAGTTAAAGTAAAAATGTCAGAGAATAAAGGCTTTATTATTATTATTATTATATATATATATATATATATATATATATATATATATATATATATATATATATATATATATATAATACTACCTACTAGAAATTTACAATGATGATTTTAAAATGTGATGTATAAATTTGAATGAAGAAAAATGAAAGATTACGAATCGAGGGAGAGAACATGTAGTTTCAACTATTTCTTGAAAGGGGTAATAGAAGGACTCATGTGGGGAGGGAGTTTGTAATTGGATAGCTCGATATGAGTTTTTTAAGCAACTTAGAACGGTATTCATCTTTCTACGGTCATTGGTGTATTTTTTTTTGATGGGTGAAAATGGTATGGTAACGCCGCCTGATAGATGATAGATGAGAATGAAAACAGGCCAGTTAGCCCATCATGATGAATTCATCAGGAATTAACCATGATAGTTTCCAGGGAGAACTGCGAGGAGGTCGACTTAATATATATATATATATATATATATATATATATATATATATATATATATATATATATATATATATATATATATATGTGTGTGTACTTTCAGACATGTATTTGCTCAATTTTCGTTCGCATCTAGAGGTGGGTACCAGGCAAATTTAGGGTGGGCACGGCCACTTAGTGGCAATATATTCTTCAGCTGTAGACATGAACAGCACCATGAATATACAGAATATACTGTGACACCATAGGTAAAATAAATAGCCCTAACCATTTAGGCGTTATTGTTCTCGAAAATTATGATGTTCTATTCATCTTTACTAGAGGAGATAGGTGGAATAGAATTCCAGTCTTAACCCGCAGTGAGGAATCATTGGTAGGGACAAGTGGAACTGGCCGCGTCTGTATCCTGTAAAAGACCTTGGTTATTGTACTACCATGGGAAGGTGTATATTTTTTTCTACCATAAAATATGTATTGTAGATACGTCCCGATTTTTATTAATTTGTAGGACTTAAATGATTTTTATTTTAATAAATAACTTTTGTTAGATTTATTTTAACAGCGTTCATAACTTGCTTAAACTTAACTTGCCGAAGCGTTGAACGTCATAATTATCTGTCAATTTTCAGAAACAACTTACAAAGTTTTTGACTGATTTTTAGAATGTGCTTTGCTAACAAACAAAATAATCATGTGAAATTAATTATATATAGTCATTGAAAATTTAAATTCGTATGGGAAAAGAATACTGAAGCAAAATATGAAGTAGGAACAAAGTTTTTGGTGGTAAATTTATATGTGATATTACCCATTTTTTAATATTAGTAATAAATGCCAGAAAGGATTTGGCATAAAAATAGATATATTTAAGTAACATTTCAATATTTACAAATCTATTTGCAGAACCCTTGGAGAATTTATCTCGTTTTTGTTTTAATTATCAGAACTATTTTATTATTCCTTACCTGTAGTTGAGATCACCAGCAAGAAATATATAGTTAATGTTCATAATTGTCACAAATATGGTGCCGAAGCATACGTAGACGTATTGCATTATCTGATATTTTCCAAGCTTCTCCATAACTTCCCATAACTCGTAAACTTTATGCGGTACATCTTTTTTATTCTTATTTTCACCCATTTAATTTTATTTAATTAATTATCACAATGTAAGAATGTCTATTTGAAGAATCAATAAGTTAAATTAAAAATTTTAAATTAATATTCACTAATTAAATAAAATTGCATATTCACTACTTCACAACACTATTTCTTTCTTTTACCGTAACCAAATAAAAAAAAAACAAATAAAAAAAAAACACGTGCGCACGATATGAAGACGTCTGTAATAATTATTGTCAATTAATTTGGCGCCAAAGCAATGTTATACAATCTAGTAACGAATGTAACAATTGCGCACAGAGATCTGATGTCACATTTATAAGCCGAACAAATATAATATAATTTTATATTATTATATTTATCTAATATACTCAGTATTTAGCTTTAAAACATAGTAACAAGACTGAGCATTTTATACTATAGTTTAAGTATTTATAAAACGCTTGGTATTTTGTTTTAAAATAAGTTTTATAAGAGGCGGGATTTAAATCGATTGTTTAGGTAAATTATCATAATTTACTTGAATTATCTAGACATTTCGATGAGATTACATTGACGGCGCTTATGAGAAGACTGATGTAGTGCTGTCATGTCTTCGCATCCGAGGCTGAAGTATTGTCTGCTACCCGCTCATTATCCAACATACTAATTGTGTCCTTAAATCGAGGGTTTCTGCACATAACATTAACTGTATCTCTATTCGATACATTTATTGACTGCACACTATAGCGAGGTAATACGGTAGTCTCGACACATCCTAATGGCCAGGATTCTCTGAGCCCTTACTATTGAATCCCTCACACGGTCACTTAGTAACCCATATTGGAGCACCATACAGAGCCAATGACCGGACCATTCCCAATTAGAGGCGGCGATAACTCCCGTTTGCTGCCCCAAGGTTCGGGAGAGACGGCTCAGCATCCTCGTAGTGGCTACCAATTTCGGTGTCAGTTACTTACTAAAACTTCCACCTTCTGTCCAAAACGATGTCCAAATATTTCAGATAGCCGCTATTCTGGCTGTGGTCAGTATGGCGGGCTCGTCGTAATCGGCGACATTCGCTGTTACTAGGGTGTTATCCGCATAACATACCACGTTGACACCCTGCAAGTTCGCGCCGCGCAGGATACCATCATAGCCAATGTCCTAGAGTGCATCATATTCTTGCGTTCCCACCCACTTTGACCAGGGTAGATAATTTCCCTTTCTGAAAGGTAGTCCCTGATTAGGCGCTGGAGATAGTATGGCACCTGGTGGAAATCCAACGCCTCCATGATTGTGTTCCAAGGCATTGGCTATGTCCAGCGAGATTGTTTTAACTTCTCCCGTGGTCGTTCTTTCACACAGAGCATCTACTGTGCCCCTAATTGCAGTGGCTGCGTCCTTGAGCGCCCGGGACAGGGTACCCTTTAGTCCTTTGGATGTCTTCAATGCTTTTTGTAATCACCTCCAAATTCTCAATAGCCCTTTCGCGAAGAGTCTGGGCTTTTTCGTTTTCGGCTCTCTTTCGGCTTCGTGCTTGGCGTTGGAAAACGGCTTTTACGCCGCGCTTTAGCTGGAATCTCGTTCACTTCCTGCTCCATTCGTATGACCATATCCTCTTGCCGAAGCTTCAAGTAGCTGGCTTTTGCCTTTGTCCACTCAATAACTTCCCTTGTAGTGGGCGGCTGTTTGCATCCCCGCTTCTGCGTATCACTTTTAGCATTGGCAGCAGTTTCCTTTTCTCTCATTCTGATGATCTGGAGAAGCCGGACGTAAGCCCACACTGATAAAGAAGTTCACTGAGTCCGATTCCGAGAGCCTCTCTAAAACTACCCGTGGTTGACAAAGGGTATTACTTCTGTGTGTCCGTGTACAACTAACTGCTTCGACCTTCTTGGACTTTCTCATCTCGTAACGTAACGTAAACCAAGATAACATTTTATGGTTCATTATCTAAGGTTTTTTTTCTAGTTATTTGTCACGATTTATAAAATTAACCGACTTAAAAAAGAAGGAGGTTATATATTCCACTGTATATATTTTTTATGTATGCCCATCAATTTATCCGTCAAGTGTGGACCGATTTCAACAATTCTTTTTTTTTTATAAGTATAATCTAATTTTTTATAATTTAATTAATTTAGTGTAAACCAAAAATTTCGGAATAGAATAGATGGAAATTTCGGAATAGAATAGATGGAATGCATAATTTACATAATGTGTTGCTCGTTGTATTTATGACATTGTCAATGCGTTTTTTTTATGGATGACAATGGAATGGTGATCCCGCCTGCGCTATCGGTATACGCTGACGTGCCCCGGCAGAGAGATGATAGGTGACAATGAAAGCAGGTCAGTTAGTCCATCGTGACGAATTCCACTAGAATTAACCGCGATGGTTTCCAGGGGGAGCCACGTGGAGGTCGACCTGATAGGGTGTATTGCTGGCAATGGGTCAGTTACATCCCATTACTAACAATCTCATTTCCCCCTGCTAATGCGTTAGAGAGGGATAGATATATAAAAACGCATTAGCTATTTGAATAGTTTGTAGAAGTCAAATTCATCAGGATATAATCCCAAGGTATAATCTAAGGTCATAATAGATCCCAATGTCGCCATTTTCTTTTCTGCTTGGGCTGAGTACATATGCCCCTTGATGTAAACGTATATTAATAAAACGCTGGTTAGGGAATTCTCGCTGTAATTTACTACTAGGCGTTTCTTAAACTAAATTAATCACATAATGTTTACCAGAGGGAGACTTTGTACAAAAGTCGATTGCTTGGGTAGCTCTGTCCCATTCGTCTTTCTATCGTGAAGCAGTTGCAGTTTGCATGGCTGTGTTTCGGTTTGAAGGATGGGATATGGCGTGAATTTACAGGGCACAGAGGAATAACACCTGAGTCCTCAGGAATGGCAACGCATGGGGGGTATCATGGGCGAAACAGTATACTCTGTTATGTCCATGGTACTGCTCAAGTCTATAGGCGACACTTGCCATCAGGTTGGCTGTTAGCTTGTTTGCCATTATAAGTTGTATAAAAAAAAAGCTAATTTCATATAGACCTATTTTTTTAGGCAATTTTAGCTACCATGATTTAATTTACAAAAATGAACATAAAACGTAGCCGTGTGGTCCCCCCACAGAATAGGCCATCCCTTCCTTTACCGTGGGTGTCGTAAGAGATAGCTAAGAGAATCTAATAGTCGAGGGATGGACAACAGCGTTCCTCTTAAAACATCACCAAAGCTTAACTGTGGTTACATGCCTACCTGCCAAATGTGGCAACTATTGATAAAACCCCCCAAGGGGAAGTCTAGATTTAACAGTGACAGGTACCGCCTAAAAACACGTTTTAAAAATGAATCAAAATCTTTTAAGAATAAAATAGCTCATCATAGTATATAATGCGTCCTTTAATGTATAACACAGAATAAAAATAAATCCTTTTCATACAGCAAATATCGTTTGACAGTAACATCAATTATAGTTCATCGCCATTTAAAAAAATTAATGGAGAAATCCTGGCAATACTCTTATCCGGTTCCCTCCAAAGGCACTCTCATAACCGGGCTGTATGTATTCGTTTCCTTCGCCGTCTTCGTGGTCCAAGGATCGTTTCTCCAGATTGTGGTTTATGTTGAGCGGCTTGTTCTGTACACCTTGTGGTTTTTGATTCTCGGCAACGCACATTGCTACCAAACACACGAGCAAAAGGAAGAATGTCAATTTAAATGTGGTGGCCATTTTGGGTTTTGTCTGTAAGTAGGTACTGTTCCAAATTTGAAATTATTATGACTGCCCCTCTATCCAGCAGTTTTTATATAAGGCAGGCTTATTTCTTTTTCTAATAAACAATACTGTGATAACAATCGAATTGCGATTTGTTAACTATATCCCTCTCTGCATTTGAACAGGCATTATTATTTGATTAACACATATTTATTTGTAATATATAATAATTCATGTGTTTTATTAGCTTTTACGGTCTAACCATAAGAATAAAGACTGTAGTCTGAAAACTGTTCGTGTAAAAAATATTTATATAAGTTATTTTATGAAAGATTATTTATTGTTTTTCTTGTGTATTTTCCATCATTTGATTTTATATTGACTTCGAATAATGCAAGATGTAAAGAACAAAATAAATGTGCTTGTCAACTGGTCCTTCTGATAGGTTCTATCACTACCTAATACAGTTTTAAGTAGTTTTTATTGGTTATATAAAAAAATAAATAAAAATATTTGGTTTAATTACGCTACCATTATTATGCGTGCGATTGCCTACATTTTACAACAGAAGATTGATTACAATAACAAAGTACTCAAAATAGTACTAGAAGATCAGACTACCAATTCGCAGTATAGGCGCTGAACACTGGGCTCCAAGCAGCGATCCATTTTTGATCTCGTTTAGATATGAAACACATGTCGCAATATGTGCGTGGACTGAATAACGGTCAGAGATTGATGAGTAATACGGAAGGTTGCCGTGTAGCCCAAGCATGGAATGGGCCACCCATTCCATTCCCGTGGGTGTAGTAAGAAGCGATTAAAGGATCCCTCTTAAAACATCACCAAAATCTTAAATGATTGTTGCCAACTCGCCTGCGAAGCATAGCAACTTTTTTTTATTTTATTTTATGCGACTTAGAATGGCAAACAAGTTGACGGCCCACCTGATGGAAAAGTGGTAATCGTCGCCTATAGACATGAGTAGTACCATGGACATAACAGAATATACTGTTTTACCCATGACACCCGCCCTCCTTATTTGTTGTCATTCCTGAGGACTAAAGTGTTATAACTCTGTACCCTGTAAATTCATTGCAGGGAAATTTCAGGCAAAACCTCCTTAATGGAGGAAGGCCTATGTTCAGCAGTGGACATTTAACGGCTGATATGATGACGGTGATGGAAAATGGTAGAATTTCTACTAATAATAATGGTAGTCAATCTTCTAATGTTGGTAGTCGAATGCATATTAACCTTTCAACTGTGTCATGCAAAATAGTGGAAAATCCACATATGTGACGTCCCGTGAGCGGACTTTACACAGACTAGGTGTTTTTTAGCGTATAGGTTTAAAAAACTTGATTTTTCCGAAATCTAATTGGAATTATACAAAATTCAGATTAGATTTATATTCCAGCTAGATTCCTTATGTAATTTCTTACACTACACTCGACTTTAATTGCATTGCAACTGTTCTATGAAAAAAAAAATGGGGTCACCTATAAATTACAATTTATTTTTCAATTATTAAAAACCTAAGACCTTGCTGGGTGTAAAATTATATATTTTTTGTACAATATTAT